TTTTATTTAACAATTATTGGTCTATCCAAATTTTCTAGTGTTTTTTTGTGTCAGTTTTGGGATTCTTATCCTTTTCCAGAAGGGTGATTTGTTAACTTCTTTGAGTTTTGAAAGTTTTTGTGAATAGTTGTTTCTAAATACATTTAAATATTTACTATTAAAAACCTATGTTTGTGTACTGTTTTCCCCCTTTACTCCTGTGTCGTCTTGTTCTGCAGTTTTTCTTTTTCCTTCCTCATTTATCTTGCCACAGGTTTGTTTACTTAATCTAAAAAACAAAAACAATCAGCTTTTGGTTTGTGAATATTCTTTATTGTTTTTCTCAATTTCTTTATAACTGGTTTCTCTCCTTATCTTTGCTACTTTTTTCTTCTTACTTCTTTGGGTTGATTCTATCGTACCTTTTCCAATTTCTTGATTTGAATATGTATTATCAGTTCATTTGTTTTCAACCTTTCTTGCTTTCTGATAAATGTACTTAAAGCTATAAATTTTCCTCTAAGACCTGTGTCCCACAGACTAAGCAATGTAAAGTGTTCGTTTTATTGCATTCCAAGTCTTTCATAATTTCCCTAATGCTTCCCAAGGATTACTTAGAAGTTTTGTTTTTGTTTTTGTTTTCCCTCTCCTAGGCTTATGGGATTTTTTTTTTTTTAAATTACATGATTTTTTTTTTTTTTTTTGGCTGTGTTGGGTCTTCACTGCTGCACACGGGCTTTCTCTAGTTGTGGCGAGCCTGGGGGTTACTCTTCGTTGCGGTGCGCGAGCGTCTCATTGCGGTGGCTTCTCTTGATGTGGAGCACAGGCTCTAGGTGCAAGGGCTTCAGTAGTTGTGGCACGTGGGTTCAGTAGTTGTGGCTCGTGGGCTCTAGAGTGCAGGCTCAGTAGTTGTGGTGCACGGGCTTAGTTGCTCTGCAGCATGTGGGATCTTCCCAGACCAGGGCTTGAAACTGTGTCCCCCGCATTGGCAGGTGGATTCTTAACCACTGCGCCACCAGGGAAGCCCCTTATGTGATTTTTAAAAACCTATCCTCTTATTATCAAGTCAAATTTTATTGCCTGATGGTCAGAGAACATGGTCTGCATGATGTTGATTTTTTTTTTTTTGAAATTTATTAGGGCCTCCTTTGTGGCCTAGGAGGTAGTCAATTTTTATGACTGTTCCCTGTTATTTAAGAAGAACATGTATTCTGTTTGTGTGTATAAAGTTCTCATACCAGGTATTAGTTTGAATACACTGTTATTTAAATTTTCTATATTTTCTCATATTTCTGTCCAATGACTAAGATGTTAGACCAGTTTTCACAATAGCTTTGAAATTTATCGTTGATATTTTAATCTCTTAATTGGGTATGGATTTTGCTACATTTCACTGTTCAAAGATTAGGGCCATCAGCTCAATAACCTAGTATTTTTGAGCAGTCTGATCTGAAACCCTGGTCATCAACACAGTACGTATTTATTGTGGCTATGACTCTTATGGGAATTGTCCTAGTAGGATGAGTGCATACTTCCTGAATGGATTTGAAAGTATATTTTTAAACACGGGGGCATACCCCCCCAACTATAAGATATGGGATAATGGCTGGAATTCACAGGCAGATTCACGCAGAATGTTCAGAAGCTCTTTGCCTCCTGGCTCATGACCTGCCTGTTCGTACCCCAGCTCCAGCCCCCATTCAATGTCACAGTGACTAAAATGCAACTACTAGAAATTCACTGGGGAAGTTGTGATCTCCAAATGCCCTCTTTTAAAGTGTAAAAATATTCATGGGTTGGCTGCAAGTTGATATTATTCTCCAACACCTTATGGTAAATTCACCAAATTTCTCTATCTTCTGATAGCTAGCTAAAAACAGCTTTCATAAGGAAACAGGTTAAGGAGAAAGTGTGGGGAAGAAGGGGGACTTAGCATAGGGAGGGAGGAAGAAAAATGAATAATTCTGGAGGAAGCATTGTCCTGGGATATAAGTTCTGGGAAAGCTGCAACAACTGGGGCTTTGGGAAGATGGGGGCAGCAAGAAGGTGCTGTGTGTGCATGTGTGGGGAGGTGAGCAGAGAGTGGACTTGGGGAAATTTAAGAAGACAAGCATCATCTATGTCATGATTTTTATCGACTGGCCTCACACTTTGGCTAGTTCCATATTGGACAAGAGGGGAACATTTTCTGCTTTTCTTCAACTTTGTCTCAGAGGAGAAAAAAAAGACAAATACGATGCTTCCATTCTCTTCTCTGCTTTACTATCATTTCGGTAAGAAACTCACAACAGCCTAGCCTGGATCATACTAATGTGATGTATCTATTGCTCAAATAATTCATTTGATAATTATTACACGGCCTTGTAGCATCTCATATCATCTTGGGTTCTTGGTTAAATTCTTTACTGTGATTGAACTTATCAGGTTATCACAATGATACTTATCATCCCAGTGATACTGTAAATCTCTTGAGGGTAAGTCTACCATGTAATACTTTTTGGAATCTATTATGGCTGGTTGTATAATGCAATGCACATAGCAAATATTGCTGTAGGTTTACTTATCTCTTCTAGCCTATGGACACTATCTTTCACTGGAGTTCATAGTGACTGTTTTTGAAAGAATGCTTCATTCTTCCCACTGCTAAACAAGCAGATAATGGAACAGTTTTGATCGCAGGTAAGTGTCATATTAAAACATTCGTCACTAGACTAAAACTTGTATCAGAATAGAGAAAGGAATTCCATACCTCTCCTCTCTATAATGTGATTGCATTAACAAGCGTTTAACCAGATGAAATAATGCAGGGTAAACTCTCAGCTTGTGTACAGCAATATATCATTCTCACATCCTGAGAGTCCGTGATAAACATGCTTTAATATGAACTTGGTACAGTCTTTGATTGAGCTTCTCTCCTTTTATCCATTTCCAGAATTTGAACTTAACCTTGTAAGATTGAAATGGGAATAAATAAACACACTCACTTAACAGATGTGAATGAGAAATATGGCCAGTGGAGATGAACTGGTTGTCTATTAGAGGCTGGACTCTTCCCTTGGTTAATTCACCACAGTCCAAGGACCAGTTCATAAGCTTGTAGATTTGAAAACCTGCATCCTGAGGCTTTTTGACAGCATACTTAGTCAACTTGCCTTTTCGGATAACCAAGCTCAAGACCCAGGTCTCTATATTCATTTATATAGACACTTATTTTTTTTTTGACTGCGTTGGGTCTTCATTGCTGCACGTGGGCTTTCTCTAGTTGCGGCAAGCGGGAGCCACTCTTCATTGTAGTGCACAGGCTTCTCATTGTGGTGGCTTCTCTTGTGGAGCACGGGCTCTAGGCGCACGGGTTCAGTAGTTGTGGTGCACAGGCTTAGTTGCTCCACGCCACGTGGGATCTTCCCGGGCTCAAACCCGTGTCCCCTGCATTGGCAGGCAGATTCTTAACCACTTTGCCACCGGGGAAGGCCCCTGTTTCTTGGTTTTTAAATTGGGGTTAGGACACACGGGGTGAGTGGTCCACTACTTATCATCTGGGTAGTACTGCCAAGTTCTCCCACTCTCTCTTTGTTTGCCCAAGGCCACACAGGCAGAAACTGAATAGTTTTTGAGTGTTTCCTACCTCTCCCTGCTGTCTCTTTGGTCAGGTCCACCCTGGTTGAAAACAAACTTGGTGGTTGGCAATTAACCACAGAAGAGAACCCATGTGGACAATTAGAATTAAGTCTGTCTTTGCTAACAAGAGTATTGCCCTTTACAGCCTGAATTTTGGGCCTATCCCTTTCTTTTAGCACCGCTGCAAGAGCTCAGATCTTTCCAGGCCACTCCTTCTGACCTGCCTACAAGGTAGACATTTCCACAAGCACAACAGTCTTGTCAGGTGAGGGACTCAGGGTCAACCCCATGGACGTTTTCTATAAGAGACTGAAACTCCAACAGGCCACAAAAAAACCACGTTCTCACATGCTCACTACAGATCTGCTTACAGAACACAGGAGGGTACTTCCTGAAACTAAAGGACAAGCTGACAGCCAATTCCTGCAATCACCAAATTACTCATCTAATGGATCATGATTTATTTGAACACATAACCAAGTATTGATGAAGTTGTATTAAAAAATGCACCAGCCTGTTTTTACTTATTTATTTATGCCTCCATTTTATTTCAGAACATTTAATGTGACTCTCAAGCCAATTAATAACATCTTACAAAAACACACAGTACTTTTTTTCCCATCAGAGCAGTTTTTCATGCATTGCATCATTTTCTCCGCTCAGGACAGCTGGCTTTGCTGTCTCCATTTTAATGATGGTGGCTTAGATGTCGAGGCCGCCGTGCTGTCCACGAAGGGTTTTCACAGACGTTACTTCATTTGATCCTTTCCTCCCACCCTGCACGGCCGGAAGGGTGCCCGTCCTCCCATTAGTTTGGGGGAAGTGGAGGTCAGTCTGGGGCGACATCCCACCAAACAAGCTGGTCTTGGTCCGAGATGTGAGATACGCTAGGGGCCAGGGTTAGGGGAATCCACACGACTTCGGACCGGGTGTCTGACCAAGGACCTCCCCGCAGAAGCCCGCCTGGCATTTAGCCAGGGGTATCCACCCTCCCGGCCAACCCGCAGGGCCTCGAATAGGCAAAGCATCGAATCCCGCTGCATGTCAATCAAGTTCAAGAGGCTTCAGAGCGCCCTCAGGTCAAGAACTGATCTGACTGTGCTGCTACCACGCGTCTGGGCTCGGGCCCTCCGGGAGTGAAGGACCTGGGGGTTCTTCCTTCCAAGAACGCTCGAGAAGGCCGCCGATGGGCCTCTACCCGCCGCGGCCGAGCGGGGGTGTCGGCTTGCCCCGGGCCGCCAGCAAGCTAGCTGGACCATTAGCACCGAGGGGGAACCCAGGACGCCGGGTTCCCGCACCTTCACAACCTGCTTCCCGTCGGACCGCCCTTCTCAGAGGTCCCGCCCCTTCCGCCGACCTCCCTCCGGAGGTCCTGCCTCTTCCGCCAGCCCCGCCCCTTTCAGCCCACGTGTTGGCCAGAGACACGCGTTGGTTGTCCGCGTGTGTCCTGTTGTCAGGGCCCCGGGTGTGTGGATCCCGGTGCGCCCCCGCCTTCTCGGCCATGGGGGGCCCCAAGAGGAAGGCCCCGGGCGGCCAGGACGGCGCGGCTCCCCAAGCGGGCGCAGCCAAGCGGGCCCGCACCGAAGAGCTCACGGGCGTGCGCTTCAAGGCTCAGCTGAGGGACCCGCAGGGCGCTGCGCCGGGTGAGTGTGGGGCTCGGGGAAGAGAGTGCGAGCGTGCGAGGCTGCCTCCCGGCTTCGGTCTGGGTGGGGCCTCCGTGTGCAGACACAGCCGCTCCTTTCTGCAGAGACCAGTCTCCCGATTTGCAGTCGGGAAACCGAGACCCGGGTGTTTTCGAGTCCAGGGCCCCGACTTGCTTGATTGTGACAGTTCCCTGCGACTGTATGCTTCCCTTTCCTGGACAGCATCCCTCAGCAAGCTCTAAAATTCTTTACTGCCACTGCTAGGAAAGTGAATAACTGTACTGCTCATTCACACAGCGGATTATTTGTGGAGTCCTGCCGGTGAGTCACCTCGGGGCTGTTCAGTGAGCAGGCTTGCTACTACCGTGGCTGTCAGCTCTGTTTTCCGTAGCCCTGATTCTCCAACGCTCATACTGACCCGATAACAGGTAATAAGCTATCACATGAAGCCACCACAGGACTTGTCAGTTGACCCGGATTAGACTAGTGACTGATATAAAGCAGACTCTATAATTTCATTTTTTGAAAAGTGTGACCACCCATCACAACTCCTTGTAATCCATTAGAAAGTATTTAATTTACAAGGACAAAACACAATTGAATATGCTAGTATGTGGAACACTGGCACTGTGTCAAAATGAAACAGTGACAGTGTTTCTCTCAACTGAAAAATTATTAAGTTAATGGCCAGAATACCCTCAGTTTCCAGTTTGTCGTCCACAGATTTTTTTTTTTGCGGTACACGGGCCTCTCGCTGTTGTGGCCTCTCCCATTGCGGAGCACAGGCTCTGGACGCACAGGCTCAGCGGCCATGGCTCACGGGCCCAGCTGCTCCGCGGCATGTGGGATCTTCCCGGACTGGGGCACGAACCTGTGTCCCCTGCATCGGCAGGTGGACTCTTCAACCACTGCGCCACCACGGAAGCCCCACAGATTTTGTTTTTAAACGTTTGATACCTGCAACTGCTAGCCAGTCCTAGGAAGATGATACCTGCTGTAGCGCAGAATTATACATTTCATACATTCATTTGTTCATTATTTACAAGGGATTGTTATTTGCTAGGGTAGAGATAAAATGGTGAGTAAGAATCACGTGGGCCCTGCCACCGTGAAGCTTATGAACGATCAAGTGGAAAGGCAGATGTCAATCCGTAAAATCATGTACAGACTGTTCCAGCACAAGTCCTCTAAAGGACAGGGATAGGAGACTTTCTGGTGGAAGAAAGAGCATGTTTAATTATTTGAAGGATTGTAACCTTAGACACGTTCGTGGTTTTGCCCAGAGCTCTGTACTTTTGGGCACTGCATTTGAACTGGTTTCAGAAGGAAACCAGGGTTGACAGGTGCTGGGTGCAGATGAAGGAGTTGGGAGGTGTGGCAGGGCTGAAGGCAGTGGGTGAAAGCGTGAATCCCTTGTGTGAGGCTCTGTTGGATTTGTGTTTGAATCTGGTCTCGGATTCTCCCTCCCTTTTGATATGTTCTCGTAACTTTCTGTGGTAGGATCACCTCACTGGACCATCAGAGAAGTGGATTTGATCAATGTTAGAGGGTTTTGTTTTCATCCAGGTGTTAGGGAAGGTTTTCTTTCTGTTTTGTTTTGTTTTTTCCAGCTTTATTAAGCTATTATTAACATATAGCATATGTAAGTTTCAGGTGTACAATGTGGTGAGTTGATACACATGTATAGCGTGAAATCATTACCCAAATAAGGTTAGTCAACACTTCCATCCCCTCATATAATTACCACTTTTTTTGTGGTGATAGCATTTAAGATCTACTCTCTTAATAACTTTGAAGTGTATGATACAGTGTTGTTAACTATAGTCACAATGCTGTACATTAGATTCGTTGGAACTTATGCGTCTTATAGCTATAAGTTTATACCCTTTGACCAACATCTCCTCATTTTACCCATCCCCCAGTCCCTGGCAACCTCCATTCTACTCTCTATTTCTATGAGTTTGGCTTTTTTAGATTCCACATGTAAGTGAGAACATACAGTGTTCGTCTTTCCCTGTCTGACTTATTTCACTTAATGCCCTCAAGGTCCATACATGTTGTCTCAAAAGGCAGAGTTTCCTTCTTTTTTAAAGGCTGCATAATATTCCATTGTATATATTTCTGTATATAGGTATAGATATCCCACATTTTCTCTATCCATTATATAGTCCCTTCATGGTGGTGGGGGAGGGGTGGGTAGGAGGGGAGAGCAGGGTTAGATTGATAAAGGCCCAGAGGGTGCTCAGGAGTAGATGAGTATCAACATCGGGGAGGATACCTGCATCAGGAAGCGTTCTGCTCTAAACCAGTGCCCTTGAAAGATGTTGCCTATGACTTAGTGGTGATGGAGGAAAGACCGTGTCCTAACTCTTGATCTCCCCGTCTCCTCCCTGCTCCTCTGTTCTCCATCTCAGTAAGTGGCACTTGCAGTCACCTGGATGTTCCTGCTGAAATCTCCCCCTGTTGCAGTAGCGGCTGAGATTGTTTCTAGACTGTCCTCGTTCACATTTGATCCTAACTCTCATTTCAGCCTTGGAAGCCTTTGTTTCTGCGGCCAAGAAGCTGCCACGAGAAGATGTGTATGATGTCGTGGAGGGGTACATAAAGATTTCTGTTGAATGTGCAGAGATTTTCCAGCTCCTGAGTGGGGAGAAGCACCCTGAAAGTGAAGTATGCTATTTCTGACCTGGCCTGATGGAGAGAAGAAAAAGTTAATGCTACTGTTGTTGTAAGCTTGATGAAGAGAAATGTGATATAAATTTCCAGGACATTACCAGCTTCCTACAGAAAATGATGCTCTGTGCCTGTGCTGTAGGGATACATTCATTTTTGCATTATAACCTTTGAAAGCATTTTAGTGGAAAATAGTAACTTGTTATTGGTGAATAATACCAGAAGGAAAGATCACAGATTCTTAATCTAAATCCACTTAGTCTCACCATGGTTTGCTTTAACAAAAGGGAAATAGGTAAAGACTGTGTGTCACAGGTACAGACATATATTGAGCTGTTGTTGTCTGGTTCCAAAGAGGTTCAAAACTTGGGATATTTATGAACCTGTTGAAATCTCAGGATTATTGCTGTAAGGCTGTAGACCTGAATATCCCCAAAGCAGTGAGGCTGAATCAGTGGCAGAAATTTCTCTTTTAATTTCATTTGGTTTAATAGTAAGCAAGCTTATCTCTATTTAGCTAGACTATTGGAACAAGACTGATTCCAGAGCCTGGGGCCTGGCAGATCCCTGTGTTTGGCTTGGGATCTGGGTAGGCGTCATCCTGCAAGTTGAAGGTTTTAAACCTGCAGGTGGCTGTGGCTAAGACTAGAGGAAAACATATGTAGAAGAGGAAAAGAGAGGAGATGGTTCGTAAGCATTTCAGTTCTGTCTTTGCAGATGCTTTTAATATTTCAAGTTTTCGAGGCCCTATTATTGCGGACAGCCAGTGACCTTTCCCATTTTCATGTGGTGGGAACCAACATCGTGAAAAAGCTAATGAATAACCACATGAAGCTCATCTGTGAGTCCCTGTATGCTTCGGGTTACAGGTAAGTTGCCCGCCTTTCCGTGGCAGGACTAGCCTTGGGCTTGGTCTGCCTTCCGCGCCCCACAAGTGCCCTTGACCTTTCCTCCACTCACAAACAGAGCGGAGCAGCTTCCGAGGCCATCAAGACTGTGGCTCTGCCCCTCCTCCTCTGACCGGGCCCTCTCCTCCTGCCCTGCTGCTCTCCCTGCTGTCTTGGGAACACTTCAGACCTCCTTCAAGCTGCCTGTTCTTTTGTCCCGACAGCTCTTCCCCGAGGTCCTCACGGGCACCCTCCCTCTCCGCCTTCAGGGCTTTGCAGAGGTGTCATCTCAGGGAGGCCCTCTCTGGCCGCCGCATCCACAGCTATACGTGTGCCATAATATCCGTATCGACGTCTTGACTCGCTGTCTCCCTCCCCTAGAATTCTGAGTACCTGCAGGTGGAGGCCTTGACCGTCCTGTAAGATGCCATCCTCCCAGCACCTAAACGGTGCCTAGTATGTAGTAGGTGCTCAGTAACCGTGAATTTTGGGTAACTGCAGGATGGGAAGGCAGCCAGGAGCTCGCATTTGGGGATGCCCACTGTGCGGAAGTGTTCGCCGTGCCCTGCAAAGGCAGGGGTGATGTGGGTCCAGATACATGACCATTGACTGGACACAGACGCGGCCATCTTCTTCTGACCTTGCCTTTTGTGTTCTTAGATCCTACTCAAACTCAGATTTTTAGCTTTCTTTGAAGATTTCCTGAGGGTTTTTTTTAAAGAAAGAGCGTGTCTGCACGTCTCCTTCCTTCCGTTTTCTGGTTTGGGGGTAGCAGACCACACAGCCAAGTGTGCAGCTGCTTCTCGGGGGCTGGCTTTGTGTTTCTGCTGTCCTGACACTCCTGCTTTCCTTCTTGTCTCCGAACAGGATGGCTCGAGCCTGCCTGAACCTGATGGCCGCCATGGTGACCCAGGGTCCAGAGGCTGCCAGGGACGTCTGCAGCCATTTCGATTTGAATAAAAAGACCTTGTACACGCTGGTGACCAAGAGGGATTCAAAGGTGAGGAGTGCCGAGCGTCCTTTCCCTTTGAGGGGGCCAAAGTGTTTCACGTGTCCTCCTCTCTCTGGCCTTGGTCCTCGCGTAGATGGGGCGGGAGGCCTCCCTCCTGGCTGGCGGTGAGGGTCCGGTCGCCTGCAGAGCCCAAGTGACAGGGACGTCCGACACCAGCTTCTCTGGGGGCTCAGCATCACAGTGCCTTCCTGGCCTGTGAGGGTGATGTAGCTTGTGAGCGTCTTCACAGAGCCGTGGAAACGGTCTCCATGTGCCTCGTGGTGAGGCCCTGGTGGTGGCCTGGTCCTCCCATGCGGGTTCCATCCACTTTGTAGAAAAGCCTTGGGAGGCCAAGGCAGTGACCTCATCAAAGACGACGTTTATGGCTTTTTACTATGTTTCTTGCGTCTCCCAATTATAAGTCTTATAATGAGTAGGGGCTGACTTGTGCCAAAGAGAATGCTTGGTTTTCAGGAGAGCTGTTAAAAAAAAAAGTTTCCTGGTGGCTCCAGAAGTTTCACTTGGGTTTGGAAGGGTTCTTGAGGAAAAAGTACGAGTTTCAGGACTCGTAGGCTGGTGCGAGGGCATCCTCCCGACGTGTGCCAGCTGTAGGCTGCCGAAGTGCCTCTTCCGTTTGTGCGTCCACTCTCCCTGCTGGTGCCCCGGTGGCAGTGCCACAGCCACCCGGGCTCCGTGCTGCACGCCCCTTTCCTGAGCACCAGGACCAGGCCACAGAGGCCCACCCCTGTCTGCCCAGGTGGAGGAGCCACGTTAGAATAAGTGACCTGCAGCCAGGCGCCACCTTGTTCTCCAGCGCTTCCCGGGGGTTAAGAGTTTCTGCGTTGCCAGGTAGTAGACTGCAGGTTAATCATGGTAACAACAGTGCTGAGGGTTTTCCTCGGTTATGAATAAGGTTTTCTCTGAGGAAAAAATTCCAGGTTTCATGGATACTACGATTAATGTGTCAAAAGTTCCATTTAATGAGTGATGGCTCCTGGCGTCTAAGTGCGTATCTAATAAAAGGAATGTGTGTGCTGTTTGCACGCTAGGGCAGATATCATGGCTCTTTGATCTTCCCTGGCAATCAGCCTGGCAGTAATTACCTGTCAGAATCCCTTCCCTTTCCCACCCCGTGTCTTGACCTCAGCCAGCCCAGCCATCTAAGTAAAGTACATGTCAGTGGACAGGCCAGTCGCCAGGACACAGTGTGGGAGAACCCGAGCTGGTCTTCCCGGCCTGGATCCAGCTGCAGGACGGCACATGTGCTGCTTCATCTCAGGGCCTCGCAAGTTATTTTACATCTCTCTTGATCTGTAAAACGGGAGTTGTTGTTGAAATGAAAGTGTTTTTACTTCCTTTAATCATTTATATCAAGTATCTTAGATACTCTGTATATTGTAGGAAATGGTTTCTAGACATTAAAAAATTTTTCTAGTATGAGAAATATCAGGGACATTCAAAAATAGAGAACGGGACACAATGAATTCCCACGTACCTGTCATCCAGCTTCAGACCCTGTCACCCCGCCCATCTTTTGGGTTGTTTTGGGGCAGTCTGTTACAGTACATCCCACATATATTTCACCGTCAATATTTCAGTGTGTATCTCTAACAGAAAGAACATTTTAGACAACAAAACCATGGTGCCATCATTGTATCTAACACCATTAATAATTTCTCAACATCATCTAATGCCCAGGGTGGCCTCAGCTTTTCCCCGACTATCTCAGAAACGTCTTTACACTTCGTGGTTCAAATCAGGGTCCAAACAAGAGTTGCACATTGTGTTGGTTGATATCTTTCTTAAATCTCTTCATTTCTTTGAGTTTTCTGCCTCTTCCCCACCTTTTTTTTTTTTTTTTTTATTAATGCCATTTAGTTATTGAAGAAGCTGGGAGATAAATTTTTTTGAGTGTTTTTAACATTTCGGAGGGACTTATTAAAGCTTCATGAAGAAAGAGGATTAGGAATATTTTTTCGTCCAAAGAAAGCATTGTTAAAAGTCCTGTGCCAAGAACAGTTTTACCAAATATGTTTTGGTCTATTTTAGACAGTGTTTTGCAGAACAAGCCATAGAGTTCAGGATGTTTCCTTCCTGGGATAATAACCCTGTGAATTCACAGGGTAGGAATGAAGAGTAGGCGTGTGGCCTTCTTGCCTTTGATGGAGTTTGCTGGAGGTGGAAGGTGGAGGCTCCGGGGCAGTGAGGGGCTGTGGTCAGGTGGAGAGGCCTGGTGGTGGCTGCTGAGGGGCAGGGGCTATGTCTCGGGGGTTTTGTTCTCCACAATGTCAGGAATCTGAAATTTGGGGTTCTCTGGGATATACAAGATGGATGCCAGCAGGTGAGAACTAACCTCTGTTTCAGTTCAGAATCCATTGCTGGAGGCACCCCTGAGAGGATCTGGTCCAACTCCGCTGTGTTTGTGCAGGATAGAAAGACCTGCAAGGACAGGTTGGGGCCAACATTCCAGGGCCCTGACTCCCAATACTTCAGTGGAGGAAAAAAACCCTAAAACTTGTGGAACCTTTCCTACTCTCTGGGAAAGGATAAAACCTAATTTAATTTTATAAGGCAAGTTTTAGCATTTTGCCAGAATTCTTTTGAAATGTAAGGTGTACATAGACCAGGATAACAAGTTAACTGTGCTTGAATTAGGTGACACGTTTGTTTGAACGGTGAGACGTCTGGATGGCTTGGGAGCAGTTGTTACTTTACGCTTCCTGAGGACAGGGGCAGTATCTGAGTCACCTTTGCATCCTCTCAGCCTGAGTTGTGGCGTCTTGAGTGTAGTTGGTGTTTTATTAACATCGAGTTGGTGAATGAAGCACTGGAGCGTTGCTGACAGCCTGAGGAGTGCAGCTCACTTTCAAGACTTCAGCCGTCATTGTACCCAAACTCCATATTGTGAAGAGGCCCACAGGTTGGTCCCCAGGGCAAGAGGGTAGCTTGGGGCTCTTAGTGTATTTGGAATAAAGCAGCATTGATCTTGTAAGGTCTTGCTGACGTGTGTTCTGTGGCGTGGATGGAGATAAACTCCATCAGTACGAGGAACGAGCAAGGCCTCCACCCAGATGTTACAGACAAGGGGTCGTGTGCTCGTTCTTTTCTCCAGAAGAAACATATCCAATAAAACAAGACAGAATTAATTAAATACATAGAGGCCTAAATGGTGCCAACTACAGTCCTTGCAACTTGAGAAAAAGTGGAACAAAAATGCCATGGGAGCCCCGAGAAGAAGGAACTTCTCTGTAGGCAGATGTGAAGTTGGGCATGAAGCAGTGTGTTTGTACAGGTATTTCGTATCATTCCAGTTCCAGTACTTACTCACTTAGTAGTTATGTAACCTTAAATGAAGTTTTTAAAACCTCAGTTTTCCCATCTGTAAAATGGGTATTGTGGGCATCTGTACCTCAGATCGTTATAAGGAGTAAATGAGATAACAGATGTGTAGCGTCTGACATAGTGTCTGGCACATAGTAAGTGCTCAGTGAACATTATTGATACCATCATCATCACCACCATCACCACCGTCACCACCATCACCACCATCAGCACCATCATCACTACTGCCCCCACCTCTGCTGCCACTACTAAGTGGAATGGGACTCTTGGAAGGCGGAGACTCCTTAATTTTTTCAGGCATTCAGGACAGTGATTCTCCGTGATGTTCACTTACTTCTTGTCATCAAATTAAAGTACCTTTGGAATAACTGAAATAGGGAAAAGTTTTCGGTGTAAGCAGTGGAGGATCTGAGCATATGTGCTAGTTCTGGTCCAGCTGACGAGACCTGCATGATCATATGCTGTGGGTTCTTTGGATGTAAAAAAGGAATGTGAGGCACAGGTTTGTCTTAAAGTTACTGGGAGGGAAAACTGATCAGGTGGCCCTAGTGGTTTCCCCTGAGGTGTTGTCTGTTGGTCATGGCCTTTGGGCCCTCACTGAGGATGCTCTCCTGGGTAGTGGCTGATGCCTGCGGGACAGTGCAGATTGCAGTCCTGGGAAGGCCATGGTGGGTTTGTAATGAGACAGCATCTGTACTTCGGTGTCTGATGTAAGTTTATAATATAAAAGCCAGACGTCACCTCATTGATGTCTCATCAGAATCAGCACTAGCCTTTCCATTATCTCTGGATTTTCAAAAGCATAGATGTATTGTTTCATTACACAAGAGTAGGTCATATCCAGACAGGCTGAGAGTCTTCTGCTCTATACCGAAGTGATCCATGAACTAAAAATGTGTATATGTTACAGTCGGGGAAGGGGAGACCTGTACTTTTGTATTTAGAGAGAGTTTGAAAGAGAAGGAGAAATACAGTAGAAAATTGAGGGGAAAGAGCAAAGAAAAAAAACCCTTTGTTTACATAAAGAGATGACCAGTGGTTTTAGACTTAGACCCGCTAATGGCACAAGCCCGGGAGGCCTCTGTGATACTGGGACAGGCGGGGCGTGCCTGCTGCGTGTCCCTACTTCCCTGGGGTGTGTGTGTGTGTGTGTGTGGATATGCACGTGACATGCGGGTCTCCTTTGCCCCCAGGGAGTGCATGACGTCCGGCTGGCCTACATTCAGTTCGCTCTTTCCTTCTTGATCGCAGGCGATGATAGCACAATCGCACAAGTGCTGGAGTTGAAAGGTAGGTGTGTCTCTTTGTCTCGGGGCACAGCCTGCTTGCGATTGTTTTGAAAAACCTACCACAGAGCATTTTGCAGGTTAATAAAAGTCTGCAGGCTTTGCAGCTGCCGTGTACACTAGGGTAAAGGGTGTGTGTGGCGCAAGACTTCGGTCAGTGCGGTTTTGATACCGCTGGTCAGTGCGGACAGAGATATCCCTGTTTCGCTAGCTGGCTGCTGAGCGGGCCTAACAAAGGAGAAGTGCACACTTCAGAGACTCATGCAGACAGAGGAGTCTTTATGGTTCCAGAAAGTACATGGATTCATAGCCGTGGCTACCCTGCTTTTCTTAGTAATTGTGTTGTAAAAAAATGCCTAGTGTCACCAGAATATTAGTAGTAGAGCTCCAGAGAATTCCAACAGTACCACCTTCTGATGCCAGTGTCTCTAGAGCGAGGCTTGGCGTAGTTTAATCTATTAGGGCTACTTGTGTTTTATCAAGACTGTGAATGGCAGTGCGGAGAGGGCAGTTGTCCAGCAAGATCCCCCGGGATCGAGCCCTGTCTGGGATGAGGAGCTGGTGTCCCGGCTGGGACCCAGGCACTTGTCAGGGGAGGGACAGCGTGGGGCCGCCAGCCTTTCCCCCACCTCCCCCAGCGAGGGAGCCCAGAGCCCCCTCCGGAACGAGCTGCAGGGACCATTTACGAGCAGGTGCGGGTACTGCTCCCGGTGTGTCGTCACCCTGGTCTGGGTAGCGGCCCCTTGGAGGTGATGCTTCCTTTGCGTGGTGCAGGGGACACGTCCTGCTCGTTGCCGGGCCCGTGTGGGATGCCCTCTGCAACCAGGGCTGGGCGTTTCTTCAGAATCCTTCAGGGTCTTCTCGGCGTCTGGCCATTTATTAAATAAAGGACACTGATTTGGGGTTATCCATCCATGCTGCTAAAGGGGCAGGGATGCACTTCTGTTAAAGTTTCTGCAGGGCAGTTGGGCTGGTCCAGCCACTCCGCATCTAGTCATTTATACTAAGGAAATAATTAAGGATGTGAGCAGAGGTTTTGTTAGGGGACAGTTTTTCTTATTAGCTGAAAATTGGACTCCTCCTAACTACCCACCAGCAAGGGATTGAGCAAATTGAGGACTGGTCACAAGGAGGAGTGCAGCTATTAACAATGATGTAGAAATATATATATAGATGTCAGATTTTTTAAGGATATAGGATTGGGTGTAAACTCAGTTATAAAACTGGTAAAGTGTGATCCCGTTTTACTAAAAGTTAAATTTAACAGAATATGGATATGTCAGAAGGTTAACAGTTAACTGGTAACCCAGACATCAACAGTGTTAACTTTTGGGTAGTGGAGTTATGGTTGATCTTAAATTTCTGTCTGGTATTCTCTGATTTTTTTTTTAAGAATAATGAATTTGCTTTTGCAGAAATTATGTGTGCCCATTAAGCATGTATGGAGGAAGAGAAATTGTAATTGCTTTGCTGCTTTTCACCAGTATGTTAGTAATGATACAGCTTCAAGCTGTGGAGGCTGAGTCCTTGGTGATCCCAAAAGTATGAAGAGAAAGCAAGTTCTACCACCAATCAATAAAGTGACGACCGTCACTTTAAATACATCTCTGAGCAAGTGTAAGCGAAGAGAGAAACTTTGGAAAACTGTAATCGTACCACACATACGTTCTCTTTCAAACCGTCAGTATTAAATTAACTTTACCGAAGTTAATGAGAAAAGGAAAGTAAAACAGAACTAAAGGAACTATTGAACTTTAATGGTTCAGTCATTGTTTTGCCTTCAGATATTTATTTCCTATGTCACAAAAATAGTTTTTCCTACTGTGAATTTGTATAATTAAAAAAGACAAAACTTAAAAAACAAAAAAAAGGCAAGTAAATGGCATTGTTTGCTGTACCATTTTAAGAATGGTACAGCAAACAAACATTTTTAAGAAGTAATGTTCTCTCATCGGTTCTCATTCAAAGTATTTTTGAGTCTAATGCTTTGAAACTTTTACTTTCAGAATTTATTCCTTGCATCTTTAGCTCAGGCATGAAGGAAGATAGGATCTCTACCATCAATATTTTGTTATCCACACTGAAAACGAAGGTACGTTTTTGGTGATCAGTGTTCCTATCATTTGTTTGCTCCAGTGTTTTGCAGGACTTTAGAGCTATAACATCGTAGGTTATATGGGTTGTTGTATAGGTTGAATGGGAAACCATTTCTTAAGCAGAAACTTGGTGGTGATGAGCCAGTCCTGAAGGGTACAGGCACTGAAGCCACCACTTCAGTTCAGGCGAGGCTGCTGTTTCATCACAACAGGAGAAGAGCTGCTCCCTGCTCCCCGCTATTTCACAGGAAGCCACTGGGGTAACTGAGCTGTAAATATAACTCTTCTTCATTTACTCACCTGGCAAAATGTTATTTTATGTCACCTTGCATGTTCTGCCTTTTACATGCATCTTACAGAAATTTTAAAACTTGCTGAAGGGATAACTGTCTTTGATACAGAAGCCCCTTAAATGATCAGTTAGAAAAACTCAATGATCCTCCCAACATAAATAGTTGTCAAAAGGCCGTGAACTGGCAGCCCACGTAAAAATGGTAATCAGCATAGTATTTAGTGCTTCTCAGCCGCGCGCAGTTCTGCCCTCCACGGGCCATTTGGCAATTTTTGGTTGCCATAACTGGAGAAATGCAGCTGACATCTGGTGAGTAGAGACCAGGGATACTGCTCAACATCCTACAGTGCGCAAGACAGCCCCTCACAACAGTTATTTGGCCCAAAATGTCAGTAGTGCTGAGGTTGAGAAGCTCTGATTCAAAGCAGTGCAAGTAATGAGGTACAGGTCTTTTCACCTACCAAATTGGCATTGACTTTTCAAAACAATGATATTCAGTGCCAGCAAAGACACTTTGAGTCAGGTACTTTCCGGGAGGAAGTGTTGCAACCCCTCTGGAAGACAGCAGGTCTAGCAGTATGTGTCAGAGGTTTTAAACATGTTTGTACACCTGGAGTGAGGGATGGGATTGCCACAGAATCACCCGGGGAACGTATTTGAAATACATAAACCCTCAGAGATATGAGCTGGGGGGGTGGGTTTGTGTGGAGCTGAGAACTGATGCCGCAATTCCAAGTCCAGAGTCAGGGATGCAGGGCAGGCTTTGTACAAGGATGCTGCTAATCATAGCCAGAGTTTGGAAGCAACCTAATTATACACATCTGGGAAATGGTTAAATAAGTTATAGTCGCTCATAGGATAGAATGATGTTCAGCCCCCCAAAGTGATGTTCTAAAGGAATTTTTAATGATGTGGAGACAGCTCATGCTGCATTAAGTAGAAGCAGGCACAAAACTATAATTAAGTATATTCTCAAAGAAGCCAAAAAAACCCCACCCCAACAAGAACCTGATACATACGCACGTATGTTTTGTGTGGTTGATGGGGACAGGGAGGCGGAAAGGAAATGTACCCAAATGTGGGCTGTGAGTATCCTAGGGTGGTGGCAATACTGGTGAAATTTTCTCTTTATGTTTTTTCTTTTTCTGGCTAAATATTTTGCCACAGGCCTACATTATTTTTATAATGGCGAAATCCAATAAACACGATTTTAAAAATCAACTTCCTTGAAATTCATTTGTTTTTTTGTTTTTAGGTAGTTCACAATAAAAATATCACAAAAACCCAGAAAGTGCGTTTCTTTACCGGGCAAGTACTGAACCACATAGCGTCTCTGTACAGCTGGAAGGGGATTGTCGACGTGAGCCTGGAGAATGTTGAGGTACAGTCGTTTTTGGCTCTCGCTTGGCCTTACTGTTAGTGTGTGATACCCAGAGCCAGGAGACTGAAGAATCTACACATACGCCTGCCTTCAAGAAAGTCCCCCCATTTGATGTTTCTTTTGGCTTGTGGTTATGTTAATTCCCAACTCAGATGCAATATGATTTAAAAAAAAATTTTTTTTTTACAATAAGATTTTTTTCTAATCTCTGAGGTATCATGATATTAAACTTTTTTTTTTAAATGTGAAAACCATCATTCCCTTTAGCTGTGTGGCATCTGAATTTTCCCTACAGCTTGCACGGTAGACGTACAGAGTTGATCCCTGCTACCTCTCCCGCCTCACTTACCTCTCCTCTCCCATCCATTCTTTTCACACTTTTCCAGCAGTTGGAGTTTCAAGGCCTGTTGCTTCTACTTCAGGATCCTAAGTACCTAGGGAGCCTCAATTTCCTCACCTACTGACATGTGGAGTTGACTTTGTAACAAGTGCTAAATTAGAACAGTTGCTCTCACATGGACCCAAAGCCAGTGAACTTTTTAATTCTCCTCATTTTGAGTTTCCTCAGGGTGTTTCTGAACATGGACTTGGCCAGAGTCATGAAGGCTCAGGCTTCCTGTTAACTCTATGATACTTTACCTCTCAAGAGCCCACTGTTTTGCTTCCTTTTATCTCCACGACTTGCCTATGTCCTCTTGTTTTGGACACGTTTTGTACGTTCTATAACCAGGAAGCCTCAGGGGCTTAATAAAAACACTCCCAAATGTGGAATTTTATTCAAAAGAGCAAGAGAAATTAAGTCATTCATAAGCTTGTTTAAAAATACAGGTTTAAACTTGCCCCTCTTAAGAGTTTTTTTTTTGTTTTTTTTGGCCATGCCACGTGGCTTGTGGGATCTTAGTTCCCCGACCCGGGACGGAAGCCGGGCCCAAGGCAGTGAAAGCGCGGAGTCCTAACCACTGGAGCGCCAGGGAAGTCCCGAGTTTTTTTTTTTTTTTAATGGTTCTATTTTATAGGTGAGGACATTCAGAATCAGGGAATTAAGTGATGCTCTCATTACGGGTTACACTCTGGCATCCAGACCCCATCCTGAAGCTCTCCTGGGGCCCATTAAGAGTTGCCTCATTAGAATGAAAGATGCCCCTATCACCTAGGAGATTCTGAGGGATTTAGGAGCTCTGTGCCAGGAACTGGAGACGATGACCAAATATTTATTTCTTCTGTCGCAGTATCACAATGCAGAAGCAAGAAAAAGCTTAGAAAAAATGTTCTATTTAAAGCATATGCTGTAAACAGAGAATCTTTAGTGCTGGGGATCCTAATACTGATGTGCTGTGTACTTCCTAACTCAGTGATGACTTCAGCTGTCTCATCCACAGTTTGCTCATTCGTGAGATGGGTGTCATCATGTTTGCCCTGCCAGACTCACGGGGCTGCTGTAAGAATTATTGTGAAGTGCTTGGAAACAGTAACAAATGACATAAAATCTCAAGTTATCTGTAGTTTCTTGTTGTTCCAGCAACTCCCTGTTTGTTCAACTTTAAAAAGAACATTTTAAATTCAATTTATTTAAAGTCAAAAACAAACAAACAGAAAACCGCAGTTGACCCGTTTTTCTCACCCCCTTGACCCCCACTTCTGGCAGCCAGTAATCTGCTCTCTGTATCTGTGAGCTTTTTAAAAAAACTGTTATTGTTTTATTTATTTTGTTTAGATTCCACATATAAGAGTATTTTTAAATTTTGATTGGTGTTTCTGTTTTTTTGTGGGGTTTTTGTCTTTGAATTACACCAGGTGTTCACCTTAAAGTGTTTGCTCAGTTGCCATTAAGCATGTGATATTGTCCAGTTTTTAGCCTGTAGTTGTTCGTAAGGCTCATGAACTTGGGATTTTCACCGAATTTCTTTGAAACCCTCGTAGACTTCTGCTGAAGACGCAGGGAAAACCATGGTGAGGGAGCTTGTTCATAACTTCCTGATGGATCTCTGCTGTTCGCTCAAGCATGGGATTAATTTTTATGACGCGTCTCTTGGTACCTTCGGCAGGTAAAGTGTAATGCCCGTGTGAATCCTGAGGGTGAGTTCTCAGAGGTCATCACGTACGTGACTTACAGTGGAAATCTGTTAAATAACGGAACTGTAGTGGGTTAGAACTAGCATTTTAGGCATTATCTGACTCATTTTAGGGATGAACTCCGAATAGGGCCCAGAGGGCTCCTGTTCGTTGTGTGCCCTCTGGGCAGAGTCTCAGGGTAGCGGTTGACTCAGACACAGAGTGTGAGGTGTCTCACCCAGGAAGGTGCTGTGTGTGTTCACTCGGCAACTACGTGTCAGCTGGATCTGAGCATAATTCTGTTACACCCTCCTCCCCAGAGATGGGGTGCCCTCTCATGCCTCACTGCAGTCCTAGGTGGGCACCATTGCTACCCCGGTTTTACAGATGAGGAAAGTGGGCCCACAGAGGGCAGGTCGCTCACCCTGAAAGTGGCAGAGCTCAGACTGGAACCTAGGAGACCTGGTTCCCAGCCCACACTCATGACAGCTACACAGCCCTTGTCTCCTCGGGCTCAGCTGCTGACGAGTTGGGATTTCACAGTTTTGGTTTTACGTTTTATTTCATGTTTCACCATTATGATAACATTTCATCAGTCAGGAAACAAAGTCCACAGCTAATGATTTCGGTTATGTTCTTTTGGACTTTCTCTTTAGAGTCATAGACCTATAATACATATCCACGTTATTCATATTTAAACCAGAACGGCCTACTGTTAGATATATTGTTCATTAACCTGCTTTTTTCCCATGTGACAATTAAAAACATTGGACATATTTTCTGGTCATTATGAATGACCCTTAGTTTTACCCCCTTGACATTTTATTATAAGGATAGAGATGGTTTGATTCGGTTTCAACCAGTCAGAAAATGACTGATCCCTCATAATGGGATTAATTTGGTGGGAATTTTTTTCCCTGCTTGTGGCTTTGAACTTGTTTTGATTCTGTGATTATTATGAGTTAACTTGCCATGTCATTCCTTTTTCTTTTAATTTTGTTTTGGTGATGTTGTAGCTTTTCTCTCATCAGTGAGAGTAAGCTTGATTTCTTGCTGAAATGTAAGAGCAGACTTTTTGAGTCTTAATGTAATATAACACCATGCTAAAAACGCTCTTTTTCCTTATTAAGGAGACCGATAAAATAGATGATCATTTAATGAGCATATTGAATCAACTAGTGGTTGTGGGTGTGTTTAAATAAGCTATGGTTTATGTAAAATTTTTTCAGCCATGGGCAAAAGACAAATGTTTGTGCTTAGGAGAGAGGAAGGGAGCTTTGTTTGTGGGGTGTTAATGGAAAGCTTTGAGAAAATTGAAATGCCTCCTTTCCCAGTGGTCGTAAAGCTCCCTCGTTTCCTGCAGGTCTCTGTGCAGATGTCGCCACGTCAGAGAGGCCTTCCCTGGCAGCCCTCTTCTGAGATAGTCCTTCCACTGTCACTGTCCTTTCGCCTGGCCCTTGCTTCTGATGGTGACTTATCACCATCTTGCATATTGACTTATTTGCTTGTTTATTACCCAATAGGCAAGAATTGGTGAGAACAGAGACTAGTCTGTTTTGAATCCCTATGTGCCTGCCTGGCACATAGTAGGCATTGAAAGTGAGGCATTACAGTGTAGGCAAGGGTTGGCAAACTTTTTCTCTAAAGGTCCAGATAGTAAGTATTTTAGGGTTAGTGTGCCATACAGCCCCTAGTGTGGCCACTCAGCCGTGCCATTGTGGTACCCAAGCAGCCATGCTATAAATAAACAAATGGGTGTAACTGTGTTCCAGTAAAGCTTTATTGACAAAGGCAGGTGGTGGGCCAGAGCTTGCTGAGCCTTACTGTGGAGGTTCAGAGAACAGTTTCTGGAGTGCCTCCGAGACCTCAGCGGGTTACTACTCCTCTCTGCCAATGTTGCCTCATCTGTAAAAAGGAAATACAATTAGTGCCCACCTCAGAGAGAGGCAGTCTGTGGTAACTAACTGCCTCGAGCAGTGTCTGGCACGTGTTGCAAACGCTGAATTAAATGCTATTCATTTTATTACATCGTTCATTAAAATTGTGTGTGTGTCTAGTATTTTTGGCACTCTCCGCAAATTTTTTTAAGTTTCTAGGTAAACCTTTTTTTTTTTTAATTTATTTTTGGCTGCATCAGGTCTTAGTTGCGGCATGCAGGATCTTTCATTGCGGCACGCGGGCTTTTCTCTAGTTGCGGCGTCTGGGTTTTCTCTTCTCTAGTTGTGGCACAGGCTCCAGGGCACGTGGGCTCTGTAGTTTGCGGCACGTGAGCTCTCTAGTTGAGGCATGCGAGCTCAGTAGTTGTGGCACATGGGCTTAGTTGCCCCGTGGCGTGTGGGATCTAAGTTCCCTGACCAGGGATCGAACCCATGTCCACTGCACTGTAAGGTGGATTCTTTACCACTGGACCCCCAGGGAAGTCCCACTCTTTGCAAATTTAACATTCCATGCATTTGAAAGCACAAACTATGTTTTGCTCATGATATTTTCCTATTAAGAATTGTAAGCTTTTTAAAGGATAGCTTTCTGATCAAAATTATACTCTAAATTCAATTTTTTTTTTTTGCGGTGTGCAGGCCTCTCACTGTTGTGGCCTCTCCCGTTGCGGAGCACAGGCTCCGGACGCGCAGGCCCAGCGGCCATGGCTCACGGGCCCAGCAGCTCCGCAGCATGTGGGATCCTCCCGGACTGGGGCACAAACCCATGTCCCCTGCATCGGCAGGTGGACTCTCAACCACTGCGCCACCAGGGAAGCCCTCTAATTCAATTTTTGAAAAATTTTTATTGTCTGTAAAGTGTCATATTGCATCTTAGTTTTGGTCACTTTATAAGGGGCTGTAAAACAGTGGTGATCCCAGAAGCCATCAACATGACACGCCAATGAGGCAAATTTTGATTTTTTTTCTGGATATTATGACTTCCCAGGGACAAGCAGATATGAAAAGGCATCTTTTCTTAAAAGGTATCTGGAGGTAAAACTTACTTGGCCATGTAGATCCTAGGCCAGGTGCTCCCTTTCTCGAAGTTTTAATGTCTAGGTTTTCCTGTTTTTATCATCTTCTTATATTTTTGAAAACTGCCCACTTTGGGACAAGTTTTGACTCTTATCATACAGTAGATTATCCCCCCTATATTAGCTTCTTTCGGCTGTGAAGTGAAAGCGTAGGAGTTTGAAATGAGCTAGAAACAGAGGAAGCAGAAACCCGTAGAAGGACTCTGTGCCATGTGGTTGAGTTTTAGAAATAATTTTGTGGCACTGTGGACTGTGGCAATTTGTGAGCACTTCATGGGGAAAGAACCGTAATCCTTTTTGTGTGTGTGTGTGTGTGGTATGCGGGCCTCTCACTGTTGTGGCCTCTCCCGTTGCGGAGCACAGGCTCTGGACACGCAGCCTCAGCGGCCATGGTTCACGGGCCCAGCTGCTCCGCGGCATGTGGGATCCTCCCGGACCGGGGCACGAACCCATGTCCCCTGCATCGGCAGGCGGACTCTCAACCACTGCGCCACCAGGGAAGCCCAACCGTAATCCTTTTAAAAGAAAAATGAGTTCTCTGTATTTTTATACTTAACGCACACATACATCTTTACACATGTGCTTTTTTGTGTGTGGTTGGAGGGAAGTGGTCAGTAAAATCACAAAAGAAAATTTTAAAATTTCCTCTTCTTTAAAAGTCAGCTGGAACTCAAGGGAGGGAAGGAGAGGTGGGGAACAGAACAAGGTAGAGACTTTTTCAGCCACTCAGAAGTAGAGGGGTGAAGTTCAGGCCCTCTGGTGGAGAGTGGGAGCCCTACAGACCATGAAAACATCTCACTTTCTGCTGGGAGGGAAATTCACCAGAAATGAAATTTGCCCATCACTGTGTCACAGCCGTGTTTACTGAGCGGAGCTGCCCCTGTCATCCTGAGCTCTCAGTGCTTTGTGAAGACTCCCTGCTCCCCCCTCTCTCTTCTCTCTCTCCCTGGCAGAGGAGGAAACCTGACTCTCCTGCACTTCCTGCTGGGTTTGAAAACTGCAGCGGACGATGAGCTGGTCGCTGAGCTTGTGGTGAACATCCTGAAAGTGTGCCCGGACTTACTGAACAAGTACTTCAAGGAAGTGACGTTTTCCTTTCTCCCAAGGGTGCAGTCCACTTGGTCCAGTAACATCAAACTGCTAAACAAGGTGAAGGCCATGGGCATTTCGAAGTCTGCTAGATGGGGTCATGGGCGGGTGGCTGTGAGGAGTTGGTAGCGGTGAGGGGTGAGTGGCGTTCTGATAAGCTCTGCAGCGTGAGGAACTTCTTTCAGCCGTTCTTCGGGGCGTATTTTAGATGGTGCTAATTTGGTGTCTTTATCCTCTAAGGACATTTGACTTTTCACTGAGCTGAGTTTTGAGTTTTACGCTTTTGAATCGGTTGAGCCAGTTTCATCTTCTTCAACCAGATTTTGCTCAGAGTGAGATCTTGATGAGTTTCGGCACAGTTGGGCTGGAATTAGTGAAATGTCTGAACTGTACAATAGTTTTTAAAGATTGCCATTTCAAGTACTTAGAACGACTTGAAATAAGCTGTGAATTGGTGGTCTGTTCAAGTGGATATGAATTAATTTCCATCTGATCATGGGTGTCAACCTCCCCTCATCTACCAAAGGAAGTGCCTGCTACAGATTCTTAGGCAGTACTGCCCGGCTCACTTCACCTCTCTCTGTCTCTCTCTCTCTCTCTCTCTGATTTATGGACTGCCTAATGGTGACACACCTGGGATTATTTTCTTGTGCTTTGACCTGGGCATGGGGTTACCTGTAAAACAAACTTTTATTCACATATTCCCTCATTTTCCTTGAATGCCTGTGTGTGCGGTGGTCCCAGCATGTATTTGGGTGTTCGCTTTTTTCTTTTTATGGCCACACCATGTGGCTTGCGGGATCTTAGTTCCCTACCAGGGATCGAACCTGCACCCTTGGCAGTGAAAGCGCTGAGTCCTAACCATTGGACCACCAGGGAATTCCCTCCCAGTGTGTATTTGGGACAAGAACGAGGCACTCTGCCCCCCACTTTGGTGACGGTATCCCTGTGGCCACCACCCCTGTCGGGAGCTGCTCTGCCGCTGCTCGCCGGAGGGGCAGGGGCAGGTGCATGGCCGTCACAGGGCAGGATGAGAGTCCTTGCTTCTCTGTCTTCTAGCCTCATGGCCCTAGAGAAATTACTTAGACTCATCGAGGTCCATTTTTGTCATCTGTAAACATGTTTTATCTTGATATAAAACATCCCTACCCCGAAGTGTTGTCATGAAGTGTTGAAAAGATGACATACTTTGTTAGGTGCCTGCCAAGTGCAGTAACTGGTGAGTAGATAATCCGGTTGTGAGTTCTAGCAGTGACTTGTTTGCCATCAGAGGTTTTAAGAGGCTCCCCAGACCACAGACCAGGCTCTCCTTTGAAGGTCGCTGTCCCCAGTAACAGTCTCATGACCCGACTTGTCTCTAACAAGTGGATTTTGGGGTTTATATTCCAGACCTTGTTCCTCGTGGCGAGCCTTGGACCTTTATTACTGTAGTTGTTTCACTGCAGCGGCTTTACTGTTGGGTGCCTACAATTAGACAGACTCAGGCTTGAAAGCTAACCTCTGCCACCAGCTCATTCTCTGTTCTCCCTTCCCCAGATCTACGCCGCCCAGCCAGACATCTCCCGGGCGTTTCAGACCAGAGAGTTCATCCCGCTTCCCCGGCTCCTGGCCATGGTGATGGTGACCACCGTGCCCCTGGTGTGCAATAAGATCATGTTCACCCAAGCACTGAACGTGAGTGGGGACCCTGCCTCCAGACTCTCTCCCGCTTGCCCCACCGGCCGTGCTGGGGACTGTGCTGAGAATACCGGCCTGCATGTACTGGTTCGTGTTTTGTCAGAGCCTCTGAGGCTTTCCATGTGTCCACTCGCCCGTGGACGGTGCCCTGGGGCCCGAGGCACATGCCTGCCCTGCTCCAGCACAGAGCCGGGACGGCAGGACCCCTCCATGGCTCTGGGCCTTCCCAAGGGGGGGAGGGGACGTGTGCTCAGCTACAGCCTAATGTCATGTGTTAAAGCCTCACAATTTAGGAGCTCTGGTTAGGGCAGGACTGAAACTTGCCCAGCAAATCCTTGCTTTTGTGGGTTAAATGAATAGTGTTAAGTTTTCTGGGGAACATTTACTTTGAGGACCAGCTGTTGCAGGAGTTTGGGGAGGACATGTTCAAGGAAAAAAATTGATACTTCAAGTCCATGTCATTATTTATTATAAAGGTTCCCAAGTCCCATCAGAAACCACACTGTGAGGGACCCTTGCATTTTTCACCATAAATCATGGCCTTAGGTGAACAGCCGTGAATTGTTGGCATACACAGGTCCTAGGCCAGCCAGCCCCTCCTAAACCCAGGTTGCCTCGAGACCCGCCTGGGGGAGACCAGGTGTTCAGAGGAGTGCAGGGCCTGGGCTTTCCTCGGTGTGGGTGGAGTCCCCATCCTTCAGGCAGGCTGGGTTGTTACCTGAACACAGCAGGACCAGGGTCTGCCGTGGTGGGTTGGCTCCGGTGGTGATGGGGCAGTTACCGTAAATTGGCGAAGACTCGTTGGACTGTGCGGTGGGATTGAGCATTTCTTGATACCCATCCAGGGATTGTGCTGAGAGTGGCCAGGGGGCCGTGGGGAGGAGCTGGAGTAAAGAGGAAGAGGCCTGGGTGGGAACAGCCAGGAAGGCCTTTTGCTGTGGTTGCCAAATCATAGAATCAAGGTGAGGACCCAGCTAGCTTGCCCGTCTGTTTTGTGAGAGACATAAGATTCCTTATTCCAGGGACTTGCAAAGTAGAATTGAAAGGAAGGTGTCTTCATGGGGAGAAGATAGTTTCAATCTGGCCGGCTGCATTTACACTCCCCCTTGAGCTGACCCCGGTACATACCCCAGTCTGGGATATAAAAGGCTGTCTCGCTGCCTGTCACGCTGTTTCAGGAGAGAGGGGTTGTGCCCCTAGGGGGTGTTGCATCCGCCGGACGGGGTGGCCATGGGGCGGGGAGAGCACATGGCCTCCTCTCCTGCCGAGGCTGCCGTCCTGTGCAGGCCCAGGGCCAGCGGAGGGGAAGCCACAGCTTCGCCTTCTCGTCACTGGCGCTGTCTGAGCTGTGACAGTGTGTTCGTACAAGTGACACCAGAGACAGGTGTGTCTGGGGGGTGGACTTGGGAGTGCGTGGGGTTTTTTAATGACGTTTTTCTTGTATTCTTTACGGTGTTATCTGCAGAAGTTTAATGGCGTATATTTTAGATCAGAAAGAAAAGAGTGAGTTTGTTTTAGAAACAGGAAACAAGAACGTGTTTGGAGACAGGGTCTCAGGCTGTTGACTGAGCTTTGCGCTCCAAGCTGGTGGGTGTAACACTCGTTTGGGTCCTGCTTTTGAAGTGATGATGGGGTGGGTGTGGTTATTGGTTTAAGACATTTAACATAGTGCTGCTTTAGCGTACAACGTCCATGTAAAATGAGACGCCAGCCAGCTGGAGTGCTGGGGGCCTGGGGTGTTATTACACTGAAGGCCCGTCAGAAAACCTTCTTGTTTCTACCTGACTGTAAAGCTGCAGCATTCCAGCTTGTGCTCCCTGGACTTCTCTGTACTTGGGAGTCACCCGCGGCTGATGGCATTGGGCTGGGCTGGGCCTGAGATCGAACGTGTCTCCCAAGTGCCCAGGGGACATACTGCCACCGACCGGGGCCTAGCCTTCCCCCTTGTGGTGACAGCACAGGTTCTTGAACCTCCTCAGTGAGTGAGGATTTTGAAGGCCCTGCTGGCTGTCTGAATCCAGGTAGAGAGTCTGCATGTGGGAGGCCTGGGGTGGAGGCCGTGCGCCTAGAGGTGGATGGCCGGACTTGGGTGCCTGGTGCCCTTGCCCATCACCTCTCCACCTGACGATAAGTGGAGAGGCCGGTCAGGTCCCGGTGGGATCTCGGCTGTTGTCGAGGCAGGTAATCTGTGGAGCCGAGTGGTGGTCGGGGAAGACTTTACCAAAAACAGACTGTGGAACAGCAGTTAAGAATAACCATCGGACGCCACCTTTAGTAACTGTGCTCCCGGCACCTGCTGAGGTCACATCTGCAGGAGGTGAAGCGGGCAGGGTCCCCAGGCCACCTCTGCACAGCGCAGAGGTCCGGCGGGCTCCTGGGGAGGGCCAGGGCCTGGGCGCTCCGTGTCCACCAGTGCGGCCCGAAGACACTTGTGGATTTACCTCTTTTTCTTCCCAGCTGGACAGCAAATCAGTGAAACACACAGCTTTGTCCCTTATTTCCGTCATTTTGGAGAGAGCCTTAAAGACCATTGACTACTGCCTGAATAAAGGGGCCTGGCAGGAGTCAGGCGTGTACACGGCCGCGATGATGGAGGACTTTGTGCGGCTCTTCAGAGAAGCCCTGAGCAAGGTAGGCCCGGGAGCCAGGCTTGGGCTTTGCTTACAGGGGTCACAGGCGAGCACACCAGAGGGAAGAGGCGAGCTTGGGGGCCCAGAGGGCGGGTGCGAAGTGAAGGGAAGGGGTTGGGGCGCTCCTGGGACAAAGGTCTCATAAGGACTGGGGCTGCAGTGATGGGTGGCCTGCTCCTTCCTCCCTGGGGCTCGGTCTGGTGAGCAGGGAGGCCATGCGTCCGCAGACTGGGTAGCTGCCCGGAAGAGCCAAGGGCTTGCTGGGCTGGGTACCCCCAGCCGGACGTAAGGATGAGTTTCTTGGTTCCCAGGTTCTGGCTCCGGTGAACAAGTCTTCAGGGGTTTGTTTTAATGATTGGTGCTGTGTTTTCACCAAATTCTTACAGTGTTCAGTTCTGGGAATTATACCCCAAACCAGACCTCCCAGAGGCTGGGACCTCTTTCGGTCACACACACACACTTGTACATGCTGGCCCCTCTCCTCTGTTCTTTGCTTCTCCTTGTTAGTTGGTTCAGTTCATTTGTTTCTCTTCCTTTTAAAGGTGACTGATGTTTTGTTTCTTTGTTTTCCCTTTTAGATTTTACCAGATCTGAATGCCATCGTGTGGGTCTGGCAGTCACTTAGGAAGCAGGAGACAGAACAGGATGACGAGAAAGCAAAGAAAAGGGGCAACAAGACCCCTGCTACCTGCGTGGCTCCCCAGAGCGGTGAGGGGCCTCTTCTGTTTGCAGATACCACTGACACAGGCAGCCTGGGAGCCTCCTGTCCAGAGGGGCTGATCTAGAGGGACTTGTGAAGGCCTCTCTGGCTCTGAATGAATCCTGTGTCCTTCTTTGCTTAGGGAGAAGAATGAGCATGGCATTGTACATTGAGTTTTTTGTGTTTTGTTTTTGTACATTGAGTTTTAACATCTGTTAGAAATGTGCCCAAGATTTATGCAAGCACTGCGTCTCTCTAAAAACTTGTATGATGAGTGCGATGTGCTCTGGCCTTTCCGTGAGGGAGGAGGCCTCTCTTTTGTTCTGCGGATAGCGGTGGGCTACATGGTCCCCCTGGAAACAAGATGTGTTGACTCAGACCTTGTCATTGGTGAAGCGGTGGGCTTTACGTCTTATATCTCTGTCCTGTTTCATCCTTGCGCGGCCCTGTAGGGGTAGGCACTGCTGCGTGTCCCCATTTTTCAGACGAGGACGCTGAAGCACAGAGAGACAGAGTAGCTTTACCCTGTCCGAGTTCACAGCTGTGAAATCGGGATTTAGACCCAGCCTGTTTGAACAGCTTTGACTTTTACCACGTTGACTCCTTAAATCTCGCTCCATGGGCATCTGTCTGCAGCCTCAGTGTTCCACATACAGTTGACCGTGATGGGTCACGGGTGGTTCGATCGCTCACTGATTGAGGACAGAGAACAAGCGTGTTTCCTGATTCAAGCTGTTTAATTCTGGTTCAGATGATGCAGAAACCATTCTTCTGAAAGCCGCCCTGCTCCAGGTCATCTGCCTCTACCAGAAGGTGGTCCCACACGTGGTCATGCAGTACAACTTTGACTTCAGCAAGCTCCTGAAAGGTGCGTCTCGAGGGACGGTGGGCGCCCCTCCGCTGGTCCTGCCAGTGGGGGTGAAGGAAGGAAGTGTGGATAACCTGGAGCAGAGGCTCCGGCGCCGAGGACCGGGAAGGCTGCTGGGCATTGTGGCCGGCGTGTGTGATCCACCAGCCTGGCTGTTTTCATCTGGACCAATGTGTTTTAAATAGCTGGTCTTCCTTAAGGAGATCCCAGATGAACACTTGGCAGCCTCAAGAGAGAAGGGAGAAGCCAGCCAGGCTGAGCTGCCTGCCGTGGGTGATAGACAGATGAGATTATGTGATGTTAATTCTAAAGGCTCTTTGCAAAGGAAGAGGGGTGCAGAAATGAGAGCCCCTTAGAAGGAGGTCCCGTTCATTCACAGGCACTTCTCACATGGCTACTCGTATTTTACCCAGTGAAGTTCAAACTGCATCTTGTAAAAGTAACATTATGCTTGTCTGGCCATGTTTCCTTGATGGAAAAGTTTGTCTAATAAAACTGACTTCGTATTTGGGCCTACGGAGGAAGACTTGCGGAAATAGCATTCTTGGAATTTATATAAGCTACTGAAATAATCCTATTCAAAAAGCTGTAGTTAACTTTTTGATGGTTTAAAGGCAAAAAGTTCTCTTGCTGTGAGAATATGAGATTTACTATAAAGTGGCCATTTAACATTTGGTACCACGTCCTTCCTGAGCAAAGGATTAACCCAGAAATCAGGCCAGAGGCTGAGGACCCTGTCTGAGACCCAGGCGGCCGTAGGCTGTGCACAAGATGCTTGCCGTCCAGGGAGCAAGGCCTGTGCCCCGCACCAGGGGTCACACTCACGAGAGACTGTACCTGGAGGGCAGTGTGCACTGGGGGCTTTGAGATGTAGGAAGAGGTCAATGTGGGCCGAGTGCAGGGAAGGGCATGCAGCACCCCCACTCTTCGGTGAAGGATTTGGATAGACCTTGGGACGGGGAAGATGTGTCAGTGAGGTGTGTGGGCAGGAGAGTGGGCACAGCCTGTGTGAGGGTGACCGCAGGACAAGGATGGGCGGAACCCCCACGTCTTCTGCCTAGTTCTCTGGAAAGTTCCCTGTCCCGTCCTCGTGGCCAGGGCGGCAGTAGCTGGGCCCCCGCGCCCGCCCCCCACCCCCGGACGTCTCGTCTGTCTTCCTCTTTCCCACCCACAGGCGTCATCTCAGAGGAGGGCCTGCGTGAGGAGGTGCCTGTCACCCTGCAGCACCTTGTTCTCAAGGTGGCCCTGGCACTGCCCGCCAGCAAGTTTCTGTGGTTAAAGGCCCAGGTAGGAGGCCGTGACCCTGCCTTTGTTGTTAGCTCACCTGCAGGCTTGTTGGCTTTCTGGCCTGGGAATTTCTAGCTGCATCAGAACCCTGACTGCTGGTTGCGAAGTAAGACGTTGACGGTTCTCCTTTTAGAGAGAAGCCTCTAGAGCGGAGGCCAGGTCCTGATTTGTGAACCAGGAATCTCTTTGCTTTGCAAAGTAAGGTGCTTAGCTATCCTTACTGAAAATATATTATTGCTGGGTGTTGGGAGTTTTTTTTTTTTTACTTTTTTTCTCTTGACTCTTTTACATTCTTCTTGTCCTTTAAAAACCCTTTTGGAAATAAACAAAATACATTTCCTTCTCCTTTGTCCTCATCCTGGAAGGACTTAAGACAGAGATGGGAATAGACACCAAGCCACGAGAGAGTTGAGGCTGGTGGAAAAATCAGTAAAGATTGCTGGCGTTGTTTTCTGTGTCTTTGATAACGTCTTCTAGGATTTCTGGAGAACATAATGTTGAATCGTAAAGGGAACTCAAGATGTAACAGATATTTACCTCTGTATTTAAACACAGGACGCCATGTCACTTCTATCCAAAGAGGGAAAATGACCAGGCCAAATTAAGCCTTGTCTGAGTGTGTTTCTGAGTAGCTCAGATGACTTGTTTTAATGACTTAACGTCTTCTTTGAGTTCTTGTATGGAGCCAGTAGTGCGGAAACGTACCCTGGCACTTTCAGAGGTGATATTTCCAGAAGGGTGGAAGAACACCGTGGCACTGGGATCTCTGTGTTCCCCGAAGTCCTCTCTCCGAGGTCCACCTGCCTCATAGTTGAGGATGGTTCTCACTGAGAGCTTACCGAATGCCAGGCTCGGCACGAGTGTGCTATGTATCGTCTCGCTTATCACCACTTACAGACGAGACAGCTGGAGCACAGAGTGTTAGGAGACTTCCGTGGGGCCCCGGCCGTAAGTAGGGGATCCAGGATTGGACCCAGGCAGCGTTGCCCAGACCCTGCTCTCAACTTCACAACCCCCGTGAGGTCGCTGCCAGGACCCCAGTGAGATGACGGATGAGTCTGGGGTGTTTAGTTTTTTACCCCAGCTGAACTGGGCCACTGGGGTCTTGACGATTTAGTTGGAAAGGGAACAGAGGCCTCTTACCTTGAAAGAACTGGTATTAACATATTAGTTTATATCCCATGCTTCATTTTTTGCTCATAAGATGGGTCTGCTGGGCTTTGGGAACAGTAGCCCTCATGTGCTCAGATCGGGGCTGCGGGGACGCTCCAGGGAGACACAGATGCATCGGAGTCTGGGCTGGGAATCTGGAGCTCCATGTGTTCAAAGCCCAGAAGCCTTTGTTAAGAGGCTTGCTTACGTGTAAGGAACCGATTATATCCGCGCCGGCATCTTGCTGAAATGCAGCAAGCGTGGCGTTGGACGGAGTCAGGCAGCCCTGGGTGGTGTGTTTTCCCGCCAGCCACCCGCCGCCAGCCAGTGCTGTGTCTGCGCCAGGGCTCCTGGGCTTGAGTTCCACCTCGGTCATTAAACGGCCATTACCTCCTTGTGCCTCAGTGTCTGCACATGTGAAATGGGGGGGACGGTTGTCCCCACCGCAGGCTTGTTGGGAGGACAAAGTGAGTCAGTGTATGTGAAGCACCTGAAGGGCCCCCGTGCTTCCTGCTGTGACTGTTGTTAACTACAGCTGCTTTCGGGGATGTGGGAGGAGCTCCTAACTCCTGAGGTTCCTCGTGTATAGCATCCCGGCAGGCTTGCCGAGTGGTGGTTAAAATGAGATGAGATGAGAGGCCGGGGAAAACACTGGGCATGCAGTACCTGTTCGCTCAGCAAGCAGTGGCCTTTGTTACATTTATAATATTCTATTGTTCAAACTCCAGGAAGGCCCAGATGCAGAAATTATTGGAGGAAAGCGATCCGTGTTTTACTTACTGATGAAGATGTTTGTGACCAGTAGCCATTCGCATCTCAAGTCATCAACCAAACTTCTGATCGTGAAGGTGAGCCTTTCTACCAGCTCCTAGTTCTAGAAGCGTTTTGTACAATCTTGCGTATAGTAGATGCTTAGTCAACAGTTGTGGAATTAAGGCTGTATTAAGACTGTGACAATTTAAAAACAGAAGGCTTTACGGCAGTTTTAATGTATTCTGTCTTAACCTGGCTGTGTTCCCAAGAGGCAACCTGGTGAAATGGGAAAAGCGGGCACTTTGAAGTCCTGTTCCAAGATTTGAGTCCTGGTTCTGCCGTTCCTGGGTGGCACTGGACAAATTGCTTAACCTCTCTGAACTTAGTTTTTTCGTGGTGAACGGGAATAACAAAACCGTAGGATTGCAAGGGAGGTTACGTGTGATCAAATAGTAGGCCATGCCTGGCACATTCTAGACTCAGCAAACATTAGGTTTCGGCCCTCTGGGGAACAATTTAATAGGCGATGCCTCTTCCCTCAGCTCCAGACTCAGCCTCCTCCAGGGCCCTGGCGATTGACCGCAGCCGTCACCCACAGCACAGGTGTCGCCAGAGTCAGTGGAAGAGAATGAGGAGTTTGTTGGCGTCTCTTCTTCCTTACACTTGAACTCATTTTCCAGGGCTACGTCAGGTCTTGCTGCAGCGCTAGGAAATCTAGTTCCTTGGTTCCACTGGGCAGCAGACATCCTGGTCAGGGCCGGGGCCGGGCGGGTTGCTAGAAAAATCACATTCATTGTATTTAGGGTACAGAGATTTTACTTTTGAAGTGCCAGTAGTCTTGCCACCCTTCAACCTCGCCTGAGCTGCTTGGAGGACGCGAAAGTCTAGGTCGTGACCTCTGCAAGGTTGTGCAGGTGTGATTTCATGATCACTCCCTGCATGTGGGTGGAATGGCACGTCAGGCTCTCCCTCGGAGCACTCTGTGCAGGGCTCGTGCCGAGGGGCTGCTGAGACCCCGAGTTCTGTCGTCGGGCCATTTGGGGATGTCATTTAACCAAGTCCTGCCTCGTAACAAGTTCTGCTCCCTTAGAACAGAAGTAAGGTGGTGCTTCTGGCCCAGGCCTGGGTCTTGAGAAGCCACATTGAGATGATTCGGCCTGACTGGGTCACTGTCTTGGAGAATTTCATGCAGGCTGAGGGTTGAGTGGCTGGGAGGAGTCAAGTCCCAAGTTGAAAAGCAGACTTTCAAGTAGCAGTGGGATATTTTCCCTTTTTATTATTTAGGAGTTGAAGGAGAGGAATAAGCAGCAGTGAGACGAGGGGCTGTGTTCTCCTTGATCGAGCCCAGAGCGACCTCTTTTCCTCGTTTCCCTCAACAGTGGGGGTTGTTCTGAAGCGTAGCTTTTAGGATAAAACTGGATGGAACTTTTACCCCCTCTGTGCTCCGTGGGTCTCAGAGGACGCACGGAAAGCGGGTTCTTCCCTGATTTTTCAGATCCTGCGGGACACAGGGGTGTTTGAGCACACCTGGCAGGAGCTGGAGCTGTGGCTGGAACACCTGGATGACACCGAGCAGGAGAACAAGGAGGCCGTGATTCAGTTTTTGGAACGCGTGAGCACGTATTTCCCACGTAAAGAAAGCACGCTCAGGATGGCGTACTAAGTGATCCTCAGTATGATTAAGGCATTTCTGATGTGCCAGAGCCCAGAGGCCTCTCCTCCTGACTCACTTCCTAACTCTTGCTGAGATGTCAGAACGATTTAGTTTTAGAATCTGTAAAATGGGACTATATCACTGTGTGCTGTTAACTTCCTTTTGGGCGTTTGGTTTTGTAGGAGGGATTAGTGGTACGCTAAGAGCGGTATTAAAAGCAATAGTCTGACGTGAAAAGGAGATATTTTTTAAAAATCTACAACAAAAAGTTTTTTTAAAAAAACTTTGCAGAAGAACTATTGTTCTTTGAAGGCCTGTTAAGATTTTTGCTCTTCCCTTTATTTTACTTGCGACATTTGGGGGCATTTTTCATTTCACGTGTGACCATCTAAATATTTCCCACTTGACTCTTTAATGCTCAGGTTCTCCTGACATTGGTGGCGAATCCCTATTCATACACGGACAAAGCGTCTGACTTTGTCCAGGAAGCCAGCGCCCTGCAGGCCTCCGTGACGCGGCAGGACACCGATGATGCCAGCATTCCCATCTCCCACATTGACGGTGGGTGCTGCTCCCTGCGCTCCTTGGGCTTCTGAAGAGCCAGCCACGGTGGTGTATTAGAGACAAAGCAGAATTGCACTGAAGCCTTGTGCAGAGGGCAGACATCCCATTTCTTTGCATCAGAGATCAGCCACCTCTGGAATTGGAAATCCCCTTATTTGTTTATGTAACAGGAAGTAGGTGCAGGGCTTATTTGCTGCGTTGTTTTTATTTGTGCAGTGTTTACTTTGTGCCAGGTGATGCTCTAAGCTCTTAATAAATCCTAACTCATGTAACCTCATAAACAACCCCAAGTTGGGGGGGTGGGTTATCCTCATTTTATGTATTGACAAGGCAGCTGAGGCACAGAGAGGTTAAGCAATCTGCTCAGCCTCACACAGCGAGGATGTAGCAAAGTCAGGATTTGACTTCAGACACTCTGGCCCTAGTCTGTGCGTCAACCCTTATGCTCTGTGGCTTCTCAGATTTTGGCTTATTTCCATGACTATCCAGGTTAAAGTTTCTGGGCTTCTCAGTGTCACGCGAGGAAACTTCAACCTGTTACTACCTGAGCTGGATAGTCCTGCATTTTGTCTGGCAGAGGTCTTAAGATTTTATAGATAATGCCCTTATTTGTTTAGAATCAAACATTACACTAAGCATTTTCCCGCAAGAGAAGTTTAGCTTTTATTTTTTCCTCTTTTTGCAAACGTTCTCTCGCTTGCCCTACCTGTGGGATTCTTGCAGTAGACTCCTTTGCCACCTCTTGCCTGGCCCTGATTCCCATCTTTCTGCCTCAGATGTTCTCGACATGGTGGATGTCCTGGTGGAGGGCAGCGAAGGCTTGGATGAGGAGGTTGGATTCTTACTGAATGAAGACATGATCGTGCTCACGTTCCCGTTCAGTGCTGTGGTCCCCGCTGCCCTGGAAGCCAGGAATAAGTTGCTCCTTGGAACAGAAAGTGAAGCAGGTACCTGTGTGCAGTGAGAATGTTGTGGCTGCATCAGGCCAGCTGGGCCTCTGTGGGGTAGGAGGTGGGATTCCGAGGGCTTTGGAAATAATTGCTGAAAACCCAAGGCAGCAGGGGTTCAGACCCACCAAAGTGATAGCTGCACAGCTGGTAGAACTAAGTGTACAGGGGTAGGAATCTAGAGGCTGGCTAGGCTGTTGGGAAATGGGTCGTTTGACGGATGAGTCTGAAATAATGTGTTTGCATGGCTGCACAGACACCTGCTGTAACACCGGTATTTTCTCTTCAGTATTTATTCTTGATATCTTGATGCTGAGGTACAAGTCCTTCACCCTTACTGGGTATCCAGGCAACATAGACCCAAGAAAGCACTCACAGATCACAGTGGTATAATTAGTCAGGATTGCTCAGGCTTTGCTGCAGTAACACATGCGCCACAACGCGTCAGTGGTTTAAGGAACAAAGGTCTCTCCCGACCGTGTCATGGTCCAGGACAGGTCAGGTGCTCTCCTGGGTGGCTGTTGTCCAGGAGGTAGCTCAGGGATCCTGGCTGCTCCCATCCTGTAGCTGTGCCATCTCAACATGTGGCTTCCAAGGTCACTGTGGAAGAGGAAGAGAGAGTGGACAGTCAAGCAGAGGTGTTCTGGCCAGGCCTGGAAGTGGCTAAGCGAGTCGTGTGGTCCCAGCCTAACTGCAAGGGAGGCTTGTGTGCCAAGGAAGTGGAAATGGATTGGTTTGCACCAAGCAAGTCCCTGTCCCGGGTGGCCCTGGCCTCACCTCTTCAGTGCCTGGGTCTCCACTTCTGGGCCTCAGCACCCGAAGTCTGACTGTGTGCTGTATGTTTAATAAAAGTCTGGCATGGTCTGCAGTGGTAGCATCTGCCTTCCAGCGTGGTTGTGTGATCGCTTGCAGAATGGTTACGACTCTTTCTGGGTCTTGAATATGGGTGGGAGTTGGTGTTATTGATAGGTCACAGAAGGGCGGTCCCAGCAAGCCTCTCCCTGCTGTGTCTCCCTCCTTTGTAGGAGAAAGCATCGTGGCGTATCTGACAGGGGTGTTGACGGACCTCCTCCACACCCAGAGAGACCCGCTGGCTCTGTGTCTTCTGCTTCAGTCTTATGACAAGTTGGAGCCTCCGCTCCCACCTTGCTGCCGTCAGCTGTCCAGGTTCAACAGATACTACAGCCTCTGGATCCCGGAGCCAGCCCGAGAGGCCTTGGTGAGCTGCGCCAGCCACCACTCCTGCGTAAACCTAGAAACCCCCGGAGGTTCCTCCCTGTGGGCCGCAGCGGGCTGTACCCCAGCTGTGTAGCTTTCACAGCTTAACAGGGTGAACGCTCTTCACCTTCTCGTTTCCCCAGAGTAGGAGAGGAAGGCACGTGTTATCTCTGCCGCTCAGCTAATGTGACGAGACCCCGAGGGTCTCCGCGATGCAGCAGAACTGAATTCGCTGCTGGCTGCACGTTTGGGCTTTGAGGCTGGGGTTGGCGGCGGGATCTCCTGTGCGCACTCGCCTCACGGCCCCCGTCTGCACACCTCAGCGGCCCCTAGACTTGGCATGCTCAGCGGTTAGACCTGAAGGCCGCTAGCAGGCTATGCTCTGCTAGACGGGAAAGTGAAAAAAGAAAGAAAGAAATGGTTTTCTCCTGGTGGGGACTGCATTCTTAAAAGGGATGCCGCAGGTCTGGCTCTGATGCAGCGTGCTTAGGATTGCTGGGTGGAGCCAGAAATTCACTTTGTGTTGTGTGCTTTTGTGTGTTCGCTCAGTTGTGGCTGCGCTTGAAAAAGCAGGCAGCTAAGGAGGACCTCTTCCTCTTATGAACTTGGTAGCAGGAGCCTGTGTTGATTGCATGTTCACGGTTTGTTAGGGCCTCATCCCTAAGTGCATCACACGTATTTTACGCCATTTAATCCTCACAACTCAGAGAGGGGTCTGGACTTAACTATCCTCCTTGTACACATGGGGAAACTGAGGTTCAGAGCAGTTCCGCCCCCAGGCAGTGGTAGACTCAGGATCCAGGCAGGCCTCTGGGCTCCAGAGCCCAGGCCCATCACAGCTATCGCCGCCTTCCCCACCTGACAGGCCGTGGTCAGGAGGTGGTCAGAGCCACACAGCAGCTTCCGCGGGTGTTAGCAGTCCGTGCTGTGCTGCACGGTGCTCCAAGTGTAGGCGTCCACTCCGTGGAGTCAGGCACTCGGCGGTTCTCACCCATGAGGGCGCGTCAGGATCCCCCAGACGCTCATTCAGACGTGGTCGCTGGGCGTGTGATTCAGCAGGTCTGGGGCGGGCCCGGGAATTTGCAGTTCTAACAAGTTCCCGGATCATGCTGTTGCTGGTCCAGGGTCGAGCCCCACTGAGTTTCAGGGCACCATGCGGCCTAGTTGTACTGGCCTTAGGAAACAGTGTTTGGAGTTATAACAAGAAAAGCCATGTGGGGTGAATAAAGAAGGCAGTTTGGGAACTAAGTTAGAAAAAATGACCCACTTGGAGACGGAATGACTTCAGGAACGTATCTTCCGTCCGGCCATGTCCTCTCATCCTCCCGTCCTCCCGGGGGAGGCCTTTGAAAGGCATGCAGCTCACCCAGCCGGCTCCTTCCCAGGGTGGCATTTCCCAGTTTCCAGGGATTAATCACAGTGACTCCTGTGAGTAAAATCCTGTCTCTGTGCCACGTGACTCCTGTTCTCCAGAGCGTGTAAATACCTCCCCGGCTCAGTGCCCTCACGTGGACACACGCTAGGAAAATACGTGTAACTGAGCGTGTTGGGACTTTACTTGAATAAAATGCCACAGGGTCACATAGATTTAGTATCAGTAGGTGATTTTTGTGAAACGTCCCTCTGTGTGCGTGTCGCCCTGTCCCTGTTTTAGCACCCTGTGCCCTTTGCCCCTGGTGCTGATCTGTCTTTTCTCTTTCCTCCCCTGCTATCTCCCAGGCGCTGCAGACGTTGGGCAGCCCTGCTCCGCCGGACCCCCCAGCCTCCTCTTTCAGTGCCCTGCTGCAGATGGCCTACACGGGCCAGGGCCAAGGTCAGGGCCAGGGCCCGGGCGTATTCCCGCTCCTGGACGAGGGGGTCCAGGGGCGGCTGCGGGCTGCCCTCCTGCACCTCCCGACGCACCAGGCCCTGCGCTCCGCCAGACACCTGCTGCTGTACATCAAGAGCACCGTGGAGAACTTCGGCCAGGTCAGCGCTGCCCCCGCTCCCTGGCTTCGCCACCTGCAGAGTGTGGCCTTCTGCCGGTCGGGTCCACACTGAGTGACGGTGTGGATGGAGGCCTGGGGCCCCACTGTTGCCCCGCTTGTCCGCACACGGGGAGGGCAGGGGCCAGTGTGCAGGGCCCCGAGCGGGCCGCGGTTTGGGAGCCTCGGCTCCGGGTGCTGTGCCCTCTCCCTGGAGCAGAGGCACAGATCTCAGACTGGGAGCCACGCGCAGCTGAACGTGGTCGCTGGGGCAGCTGAGGCCGGGCGGGGCCCTTCCCACAGCTGAGCGGGTCCGCGGCACGACCAGGCGTCCCCTCTGCCTTTATAAGTTTTAATTCGGCGGCTCATTGTTGGGCCTTCTGTCCCTGAGGTGGTTTACAGATTTTTAGTTTAGGTTTGTTGCTGTTGTTGTTTTAATATTTATTTATTTGGCTGCTTCGGGTCTTAGTTGCCGCATGCGGGATCTTTTTTACTTGCGGGAGATGAACTCTTAGGTGCGGCATGTGGGATCTAGTTCCCTGACCAGGGATTGTACCCGGCACCCCTGCATTGGGAGTGCAGAGTCTTAGCCACTGGACCACCAGGGAAGTCCCTTAGTTTAGGTTCTGAGGTGGGCTTTTCCCCCTTATCTTGGTCAAAATAAATCTGTGTGCTTCGTCAAGATTTAGGAGGACATGTCTTGTTAAGAAGTGACTTTGAGGGCTTCCCTGGTGGCGCAGTGGTTAAGAATCCGCCTGCCAGTGCAGGGGACACGGGTTTGAGCCCTGGTCCGGGAAGATCCCACGTGCCGCAGAGCAACTAAGCCCGTGCGCCACAACTACTGAGCCTGCGCTCTAGAGCCTGCGAGCCACAACTACTGAGCCCACGTGCCACACCTACTGAACCCATGTGCCACAACTACTGAGCCCATGCGCCTAGAGCCCGTGCTCCGCAACAAGAGAAGCCAGTGCAATGAGAAGCCCGCGCACTGCAACAAAGAGTAGCCCTCGCTCGCCGCAACTAGAGAAAGCCCATGCGCAGCAATGAAGGCCGAACGCAGCCAAAAATAAATAAATAAATTTTAGAAACTTTTATAAGAAAAAAAGAAAAAGAAATGACTTTGAGGTTGTTCGCAGTTTACCGCGAGTTTCCATTTAAGCCTGCTTCCCTCCTTGATTCTTGTTTCTGGCAACTCTCCCCCTCTGGCCCTGGGGGGAGGCGGCAGTCAGTGTTCTGGTGACTGTCAGCCCTTCCTGGGCCTGAGGGTCGTGTGTGTCTGGTCCTCACAGCTGGGCAGGAGGACGGGGCCTCCCCTGCTGCAGTTCCTCCTGGACCTCCTCAGGTGCCTGGTCATCCACTGTCAGCAGCTGGACGCCCAGAACCAGCAGAAGCGCCAGGCCGCCCAGGCTGAGTCTGACCTCTTTTTGGACGTGGAGTCCATGGCCTCGCTGGAGTTGGCCGATGACAAGGTACCGCCGCCCTCCCTCCCTGGGTCTCCTTCTGGTTCGCCTTTTCCTGTGAGGTCACAGCCACTGGCTTTCCCTCCATTCTGGTTAAAAGCAAGTACGTGTTCATTGCAGGGAAGTAGGGAGATGCAGAGAACTCCAAAGGAGGCCCTAAGCACCATCCCCCGCCCACCCCGAGAGAAGCACGGTTTACTTGGGGCGTTCATCTTTCCAGTCACTTCTCTGCTCACACTTGCCCTGCTGCGAGCACTTTCCCTCCCACTGTGCCGTGAGCGTCCTGAGAACTCGGACTGCGTATTTTCCTCTTAAAGGGTTGCAACCTGTGTTGAGCGAAGGCTGGGCAGTGGGTGGGGCCCTTCCTCATGAACACACACAGCGACCACACTGCCTGGGGAAGAGTGAGCCTTCCTCTCCTGCTGGCAGTCTCGTGAGTCAGCTTTTGAACTGGGGCCAGGACGAATCTTTCTCACCATTTGCCATTTGACCTGTTGTACTGGGTTTGGGTGCAGGCGTGTTCCTCAGTTCACAGTCGAACGCATGGCTCCCTTCCTTTGATCTCCAAGCGGGCTTTCTTGGGGCGGCATTTGTTGGTGCAAGACCACCTGTTAGCCAGTCGTTGGGCAAAGCACTCCTGATGTGTGCTTTTCTGTTTTTCTTTCTGTTTGGGAAAGCTCAGTTGGAAAGTGTGGTAGGCTCCTCTTTCCTTCCTGAAGAGTAAATAAGGAAAAAAATTTATTTCTGTCCCCGGGGACTGGGTGACTTCATTGACTAGGAATCGTGTTCAGCGAGGCTGCGTCAAGGCATCATCTAATCCAGCAAAGTGCACTCAGCTGCCCTCGGCTCAGTGGTTTACACTAGTCTTGGGGTCAGAGCTAGTTCCTCAGCGGGTCACTCGAGGCCCAGCCTCCTTCTGGAAGTGGACGCAGTTTCACCTTCAGTTCTGGATCGTTTAACCCCTACCCATCTTCCCCAGCCACAGAGCCTCTCCGAAGCCAGGGTAGCCCTGCCCTGGTGGTCGGGTGGTACCCACGTCCCTCAACCAGATTTATTTAGGAGGGCAGGGCTGCTAGGGAGAAACCAGGAGACAATTGATCGTCATCCCATCTTGGCATTTCTCCGTGGCCCGGCCCTGCCTGAGTGACTGTGGAGAGCAGTTTTACTGCACGGTAAATTCATTCAGGCTGCATTCATCCGCTTCCTGCTGGTCTGGGGGTCACTGACCGAGTCACAGTCCAGGCCCCGTCGTTGTACAGGGGAGGAGGTGTGTTATGATGGGGTAAGAGCTTTGGGCTTGGGTTGGGGTGCTGCGGGCACCCCTGAGAGGGGCCCTGGGACTTGGGCTTGAGGGTGGAGTGGCTTAGCAAAGCTGCTTTCTGCTCTCCGTCCTCCTCAGTGGCAGCCGCTGGCAGGGCCGTGGGTGAGGTCTGTGCCCTGTCACTGTGTTTCAGACGCTGGAGGAGGTGCTCGTGGCCATCCTCAAGCATCCCACGCTGGAGGGCTGGTACCTGGCCCTGGAGCAGCAGGCGCTCCCCCCGCACACCCTCAGTCCCGTCCTCGCGAAGCTCCTGGCGGCCCACCTCAGCGCGGGGGTCCTTCCGCTGCTGGTGGCGAGTGCCCCCGTCCTCCAGAGCCTTGGTCAGCTGGGGCTCCTGGCCAGGTACTCAGAGGCCATCACCCAGAGCGTCCTGAAAGAGCTGCGGAACCAGAGGGCCCGCGCAGCCACGCCGATGCCGAAGACCCTTCCTCAGCTTGAAGCCCTGCAGGGGCTGCACCCGTACATGGAGGGCACCCAGCTCCGGGAGGTCACCCTGGCCCTGCTGAGCCTGCCCGAGGCCCACCTGGTGGCCCAACGACCCACTAAGTCCCGCCAGAAGGAGAGACACCTGAACACTCTCGGGGAGACCCTGGTCCAGCTGCTGACCAGCCGCCCCCAGGAGCAGCTGCAGAGCGGTGAGCTCCTCCAGGCCTCTGAGTACGTGAGAGGCCTGGGGGCTTTGCTGCCCGCGCTGGCCGTGGACGAGCTGGACGCCGTGCTCCTCCAGGCTCTGCAGAGAGAGCCGGCTCTGGCCCCCGCAGTCGGGGTCACTCTGCTCGACTACTGCCTGGCCCGGCGGACGCCGGTGGCCCTGGGCACCGCGGCCTTGCTCCTGCAGCACAGCTGTCCCCACCTGCTGCGCTTTGAGCGGTGGTGCAGGCGGGCCAGCCTGGGGCTCTGCCTGCAGGAGGCCCTGGACGACTTCCTCCCTGTCATCCGCATGTACCTCCAGTGCAGGACCCGGGAACACTTCACGCGCCCCGCAGCAGGTACAGGAAGGGTGGGTTTGGGCAGCCAGGAGGGCTGAGAACTGTGTGTCCACCCTTAAGCCCTGGGACTTCACATTCTGGAGGTATCGTTTAGTTCTGTTTCTCCTCAGATGTCTGACCCAGGTCTGAGGATGGAGCTCCCATCGACCCCGAGTTACCCACGGGAAGCTGGGGCCAGTGGTGGGCGGTAGCGATGGCCATTGGGGGCCAAGGAAGGAGCGGCCCCGGCTGGGTCTTATTAGGTTGAGAGAGTGGCGTGGGTGATGGTCCTTTGCCCCGTCCCCCTCTCCCCACCGTTGGGAGCGTTGGTGAGTCCGTGCTGAGCCGAGGCACTCGGCTGGGCCCTGCGCTCTCTTCTCTCTCCACCCATTGGGTTTCAGGTCCAAGGCACTTCCTGATCACCTCCAATTCAATTTAATTCATTTTTATCGTGTGTACGAATGATTTTTCACTCACTGCTTTGCCTCTGTGCTGCATAGCTTCATATCATCAATAACAGATGTTTTTAAAAAATAAGAGCGCCCCTGCAGGAGGGCGTCTTCCGGCCAGTGGTTCTCAACGCTCTTCTCGTTCCCAAGTGAGTTCAGGACCTGGGTGCTCACCGTCTCGTCATGACCCTCGAGCCGGGGCTATGCCCAGGGCCTGCGGGACTGTTAGGGTTGAGTGATGAGAGGTGACCGGTGGCGTGCTGGTAAATGTTTTAGCCACTGGCTCTTGGGGGAGACTGATTTGTAGCATTTGCCGATTTCCGTGGCGTCACAGCTCCTGCCGTGGTCAGTCTCGTGCTACCAGTGTGACATCACCCAGGTCACAGGTTTCCTGAAACAGAGCCACCAGCCCTTGTGAGCCGGTTGTCGTGCTCCACGGTGCTCACCTCTCTCCCCTGCTTGTCTCTGCCCCAGTACCCTCTGCTGTCATGCCTGTCCTGAGGAAGGCCCTGTGGAGGCCGCTGCAGACCAGGCTTCTCAGTGCTGACGGGCCCCTAGAGTCTGGGCTGCATCAGGAGATCCTGGCCCAGCTGGTCCCATTTGCAAGAGCCAAGGACCTCCGTGTCCTCATGGACCGATTGCCCCGCTTGCTTCAGACTCCAGGCAGTCACAAGAGGTGTGAAGGCTCAGATTGTTTAATGGCTCTCCCTGTCTCGGCTTCCCTTTTCGCTGTAGTGGTTATAAAGCAGTGGAAATCGCTGCATTGCTGTTGTGCAGTTGGGGAGAACGCAGTTCCTCCGAGAACTCTACTTCATCCTGGCTGGAGCAAGTTCATCTCCATAAGTGGGCGGTTCTGATTCCCTTAGAGCCGTGGTTATCAACCAGGGGTGATTTTGCCCGCTCCAGGGAACATTTGGCAATGCCTGACACCTTTTACTGTCACGATAGGGGTATGGGGGGCTTGTTGCTTCTGGCTGCTAGAGGGTGGAGGCCAAGGGTGCTGCTAAATATGCTGTAATGCATAGGACAGGCCCCCTCCCCTCCCCCCAAAGAGAGGATTCTCTGGCCCACAATGCCAGTAGTGCTGAGGCTGAGATGGCCTGATTTAGACAAAGTCTGGACAATATATCCTTTTCCTGGTGTGCTAATAGTGTTTCCCCTAGTCGTAAAAGTTCTGGTACGTCTTTGAAGTTTGCGTAAGGGGCAGGGGAAGCCTGTGATCTCTGTGCTTGGGTAGTTAGTGTAGGGACCAGGGCTCAGGGCATCTGCCTCATATGGCCCATTGTGATGTTGGATTATATATACTTAAAGCTAGAGGGATTTGGGCCATGCCTGTAACTCTGGGTTTTGTCTTCTGCTGCAGTTGGGTCGTGGCTGACTCTGTCTTGGCTGTCCTGGAAGGGTCGGCAGAAGAGCTGCGTGCTTGGAAAAAGACTCTGCTGGAGGCCTGTGTACAGTGGCTGATCGCATCCTTTAGCGGCGGCCAGCGAGATGATGGTACCCAGGATCGAGAGAAGCAGATGCTGCTAAGATTAAACGAACTGTTGGTAGGTGTCTCTTATTAGAGCCCCTGGTTAAATTTTTAAGGGAAAGAGTGAGATAGACAAACCCAGGTTTGCAGATACATTCAAGCCAGGTGGCGTGAATTCGACCTGGTGGGGGATGAGAGGAGCCATGTCTAGGAGGCGACGGGCAGGTGGAGGGCAAACTTTGAAATAATGAGCCATCTTTTATCAGGAATGGTTGCAGGAATTTGTCAGAATGCTTTTTGGTTGCATCTCCTGAGATGGTTATATGGTATTGTTTTTTGTTTTGACTGTTAATGGGGTGAATTATATTAACTGATTTTTGAACGTTAAACCAGCCTTGCATTCCTAGAATAAACCTACTTGGTCATGATATGTTCTCATTTTTATATAGTGTTGGATTTGATTTGCTGACATTTTACCAAGAAATTTTGTATCTGTGTGCATGAGGGGTATTAGCTTATAATTGTATTTTCTTGCAGTGTCCTTGTCTGGCTTTAGGATCAGGTAATACTGGCCTCAGGTTGAGTTAGGAAGAGTTTCACTGGGTACAAAATTCCAGGCTAACAGTTTTAATTTTTTTCAGGCATTTCAAAGATGTTGCTTTACTGTCTTCTGGTGTGCATTGGTTCTGATAAGAAATCTCTCATTGTTATCTGTATTTCTCTTTACATGATGCCTTTTTTCTCCAGCTGCTTTGAGGATTTTTTTCTTTACATTGCTTAAACAACATGATTGCGATATGCCTGAGCGTCGTTTCTTCAGGTTTTCTGTGCTTTGGGTTCAACGAGCTTCCTGGCTCTGTGAGTTTAGAGCTTTCATAAAATTTGGAAATATTTAGCTGTTTTGGGGCCTTTATTTTCTTTTGTTTTTAATGTTACATTTTTGCACAGAGATCATTAGCTTCCTGAAGAACTTAATGTGTTGTGTTACAGGATTGTGAACTTAAGGCATGTAGGAACCTGACCCAGTAGAGCTAGGAAAGAGGAGGAGAAGCATTCCTGGGATGTAAGGGAGTCGAGCTATGGAGCCGGGAGTGCTGGGCTCTGCTCTTCTAGGGATTTGTGTTCTTGGGACAGGCCTCCCTCCTTACCCCACTTGGCTGTTTTCTTTCTCTCTCTCTCTTGCTCTTGCTTCCCCCACCCCTTTTTAACAGACTTAACTTTTTAGAGCAGTTTTAGGTTCACAGCAAAGTTGGGCGGAAACTCAGAGTTTCCACATGCCCCCTTCTCCCACACGTGCACAGCTTCCTCACCGTCAGCATCTCCATCAGCCCTTTCCTTGTAATTGAGGTGTGGTTTTCATCTCGTGGAATATGAGGTCTTAAGTGTGTAGTTTAGTGCTGACAGATACACGTACCCCTGTGCCCACACTGCTATCCAAGATTTTCATCATTCCAGAAAGCTCTCTTGTGCTTTCTCCCAGTTGGTCCCCTTCCCCCCAGAGCAGCCACTCTTCCGATGTAACATAATGCACCACGTTTGGAGATTTTTCTCCACGTCAGGGACTGTGGACCTACATTGGCCCTGTTAGGGCGCAGTGGTCTTGCCCTGGGTAGATGTTCTCTCGTGTGTTTAAACAGTCACATGTGGCTGCACCTCTGTGTGTTGCAGATCAGTCAGTGCTCTTCAGAATGGTGGACAAAGGGGAAAGTTACACAACTACTTGGGAATTTTCTTTTGGTCATTTGGTGATCATAGGTATGCTAAGACAGAGCTACTAGTGGAAATAACAAAACAATTAAAAAAAATCAAAGTAAGAAGCAACTACAAGCTTTTGCGAATTGCTTGGATAACTATATTCCATATTTACTGTAGGGCTGTAATTTAAATTCTGTGTCCTCTATTTTAAATTAATTCGGATATTCCATATATATTTCTTGCTTTCTTTATTCCTAGAATTCACTTAATGAAGTTGATCCTGGTGATTGGCAGAAATTTGTGAAGACTGGACTCAAGTAAGTTGAATTTATTTTCTTGGTGCTGTTCAGTAAGGCGGTGAGTGTCTTTGCTGGTGCGGGGCCAGTGGTGTAGCTTGTTATTAGCGTAAAGAACGTGGAGGAGCAGTTGCTGCTCCCATTTTGGGCAGACGAGACGAGACAGCAGTGTTGGGGAGGGAAAATGATTTGCCCGTTGACATGTGTGTACTTCTAACAGCGATGAGAGAAGCAGCCTTTAAAAAATGAAATATTTTTTGGGAATTCCCTGGTGGTCCAGTGGTTAGGACTCTGCGCTCCCACTGCCAAGGACCCGGGTTTGATCCCTGGTCAGGGAACTAAGATCCCACAAGCCACGCAGCACGGCCAAAAATAATAATAATAAATAAATTTTTTTTACTGAAATATTTTTTAAAAGCCAGAAATGTGCAGAGAACAATACAGGAGCACCCAGATTTAATAAATGCTGACAGTTTTCTCTATTTGCCCTAATTGCGTCCTTTCCTTCCCTTGCCCCAAAGTGTCACTCTTCTGAGGTTGAGTTTTGTCATGGCCCTGTGCGTTTAACACTTTGGTTGCATGTCAGTGTGTCTCTAAACAATAAACCACAGTGTTTATTGAGTTTGACACTGTATACAGATGTATCACTTTATTGTCCCTCTTTTGCACTCAGAAGTTTTTGAGTTACCCATCTTGATACATGGAGATCCCCAGTTCATGTAGCCAGTGTCCTACTGGTGGACAGGACCTCCCTTCTTTCCTTCCTTCCTCCCTCCCAACCCTGCAGTGAACATTGCATGTCTCTTTGTGCCCAGATGCCAGATTTTCTGGGGGAGGGGTCACTTGCTGGCTCTTAATGTGGGCACAACTCCAGTTTTACTAGATTTTTGGATTTGTTCTCCAAGCTGACGTAACATGGTGTGGAAGTTCGTTGTGTCCTCGCTTCCTCACCAGCAGTTGATGTGGTCAGACTCTTTCTTTTCGGCAGTCAGGTAGTCATGGAACGGTATTTCATTGCACCTGTAATTTTCATCGCCCTGATTATTCATCAGTTTGAAACAGAGAAAAACACCCAAGAGAGAGAAATAAGTGAAGGTGAGCCAGAGGGAAATGGCAGCCGAGGGTCACCTTCGTGACATGACGACATTCTTTGAGTCTTTGGTTAATTTGCGTTTCTAGAATGTTCCCTGTGTGCTAAGTGATTCTTAACAATATTCACATATGACTAAAAACTTTTTTCTCCGGAGCATGATGCTTTCATTTCTTTAGTGGGTTCTAAAGGGATTTAAGATGAGAAGGCTTCTGGGGTGTTAGAGGGGCGTTTTGAGTAGCTGAAAGGAAGGAAGGAGGGAAGCTGACCTGGCAGGTAGGCCAGGTCAGAAGTGCTCCCTGTGATGGCTAGGCGACTAGGTATGTGATGCTGCAGGTGTGCTGCAGCAGCATGGGTAGTTTGGGTGATGGGTGTGCGACTGTGAGCTCTAGGATTCTCACCTGTGTGGCATGTTGGAAGTTTTCCTTGATAAAATGTCGAGAAAAAAGGTTTTCTATTGTTTATGAAGCTAGTTTTCCCTTTGATTCTTGCCTCCCAGATTTCGGTATCAGGACCATGCATTTTTAAAGGCCCTTCGTGCTGCCGTCCAGCTCCTGTATCTTCCGGAAAGCGCCGCACGCTCGCGGCTCACTCAGCTCTCGGTGGTCCACGTGATGCTCACCCAGCACTCCCTGTTCCTGCCCACTTTGCTTACGGCTGGAGAGGAGGAAACCCCAGGCAGTCCCATCAGAGGTGATTCTTTACCCCACCTCCCACTTCAGACACGGAGCTTATTCCTGGATTTCATGTGTTCTCAGAGCTAAGGAAGCATTACCCAAACGGTATCCGAATATTTCATGTCTGTCAAATCCAAGCTCAAGAAATGTTTCCTCTGACTTGGGGTCACACAGCCAACACAGACCTCTCTTCAGAGCCTATTCTGGCCTGCAGAAGCCAGATTTAAGGTTTTCTGCTGTATCGTGGGCGAGCGTTAAAACCTGGGAGTTAGGGGGAGTTAGGAGGGGGGGTTTCTCACCTGGGAGAAATTGTTTAGTTGCGTTAAATGTCTTAATGGGGTGATTGAAACTTTTATCAAGGGCGAAGGGTTCGAAGGTCCCTGTTGGTGGGTCCCTGCTAGGGACTCGTACGGCCCAGGCTTCTTCCCTAGTCGGTTCGGTGAGCGTTTACGTTAGCATGGCGAAGACTGTGGGAGATGGCAGAGGTCTGAGGGGTCCTGCCCTCCCGAAGCCATACCGTGTTTAGAGACAAAATTGGCATCCCCAAACTGTTAGGAATCACTGCAGAGCTGGTCTGTAATAAACTGCTAAACTGGAGAGAACCCTTACCCAAGTTCCTGGTACAGGCAGTAGAAAAAGTAGAAAGGCTCCCCGCTTTCAGGCAGGAGTAGAAATATTAGAGATTTTGGTAACATAATCATGGAGAGAAATGCTTAGGTTTAAAAATCTTTGTTGCCTTAAAGTTTGGGAGGGGGCTTGGAGAGGCTGATGGCAGCCTCGTCAAAGTTGTGTTTATTTTAAAAAAGGAAAAAGCAGGGAAGGGACCAGGTACAGTCCTCAGACCAGTGTTGTCTAGAGAAGGATATCTCAAGCATTTGTGTTTGCTGCAGTGCTTCCTTCTCCACTTTTACTCTGCATGTGCCCATCCCCCTGTATTGCCGGGCATGTCAGTGTTCTTTTCTTCCAGAAGCGCTGGTGGACCTAATGTCGGTGGCAGTGAGGTTGTGCCCCTCTGTCTGCGAGAGCAGCCACTTCGCGGTGCTCCTCGGGGCCTACGGAGCCTCTCTCAGCGTCCTGGGTGAGGGTGCGGGGACCGGGCGGTGTGATCAGAGCATATGAGGTCTCGGGGGTCACCAGGAAGCTTTCTAAACTGACCCTCAACTGACTTTAGACCAGAAGATCTTACTTCTCCTGCGGGCCTACGAACAGAACAACCATAGCCTGGTCAACTTCAGGTGAGCGCTGGGCCTGGAGGTGAGAACGGCAGGTCTTGAAGGCCCCACCCAGTGAGCTCCCCCAGGGAAAAGGGGGGCTGGGTGGACCCCTCGGCTCACACACCATTGCCAGCGTGGGCTGCTCTGACCTCTCACTGTGAGGATGGTCCCCGATGGCCAGGCCTGTCTGGGCTGGGCCACCTCACTGGTTGACAGTGTGTGTCTGTCACAGACCTGCCCTCGGACTCACTTCTGACCTGGGGGTCATTTAGTTGATTCTTCTGAAAACCTTTCTCTTGGTGCCTTCCTTTAGGTGGGAGTGACTTAGGTGGGGATCTGGGAAAAGACTGAGGAGCGCTGGCTGGATGTTAATTCCGCCCTCTTCCTTGTCTGTGCGTGCGTGCGTGTGTGTGCACGCGCGCGCGGTGTCTGTCCCTGGATTTGTCTCTTTCCTGTCTGTCTGTCTCTGTGTCGGTCTGTCTCTCCTGGGTTCCCAGGGGCCGCTTGCTCCTTGGCCAGCATGGCTTTGGGCCCTGAGGGGCTGGGCTGATGCCTCTCCCTTTGGGCCCTGCCTGAGCTCTGCAAGGGCCGGGGTTAAGCTATTCATAGACAGCATCTGAGATTCTCTTTGCTGCCCTAGTTTCTTTTCTCCTTAATTTGGGACCAGCACCCCAGCATCTACCCAGTACATAAGAAGAGCTTTGTGTGCTGAGACAGGAAGTAAGCTTACTGGGCCAAGAAAAATAGTTCAGGAGAACTCTGCAGGGAAGGGAAAAATATATTTCCCTTGTAGAATTCTTTTTTTTTTTTTAAAGATTAAAGATGTATTAGCCTAGAAGCCCCCCCGCCCCCCCCCAAAAAAAAACAGTAAAGAGAACCATTTTCTGCCTCTTAAAAGAGTCCAGGTCATGAATAAACATTGTCTCTCCCTTCCCCTCGTGGCCTCACCCACTTACTGCCTTGGAGGTGGTGCTGTGTCAGTTGTATTCTTTCTGGAATAAACAGCCCCTGTGTACACGAGGGAGAGGAGAGAAAACAGAAGCAGTCTCCCTCACAGTGAAGAGCGAGCCGTCCTACCCAACCCCCGCAGCCTCAGAACCCCCTCTCCGGTTAATGGAAGTCACACAAGGGTGCCCTGGGCGCGGACGGGTTCAGTCGCTTTCCAGGAGGAAGGCAAGGTGACCTCTGTGGGCGGCTGCCATGGGGACTGGTGGTGCGAAAGGTAGAGCTGGGGACGGCGCCAAGGCTGTGCACTGGACCTGGTCTGCTCACGGCCCCGTGGCAACGAGGAAAGGTTTGTATCAGTAGGGCATCATTGAGCTGCCAGGGTTCTGCCGCTGTGCCCAGCACACACTCTGGAGCCAGACTCCCCAAATTTGAATTCCTGTTCTGCCACTTACCAGCTGGGCAGGGGACCAGCTGAGCAGCGTTCCAGATCCTCTCTGTGTCTCTCTTCCCGCATTTGCAAAATAAGGATGACACTAGTACGTACCTTATGGGATAGCCGTGCAGATTAAGTGAAATGAATACACCTGAAAGGTTTACAATAGTGCCTGGCACATCATAAACTCTCTGTAAGTGTTGGCCTCCATCATCCCCGACACTGTCACACCACCCTCATCATTGTCAACCTCTCCGTCACTCCCACCTTCCCCCTAAGTTATGATGGGGATTAAATGATACAACACAGGACATGTACTCAGTGCCTGGCGTGCTAGCTGCTCGACAAAGCTACCTGCAGTGCCATCATCACCATTGTCACCCCTGTTCCCGATGGGGCCCTGTGACCAGTCTGCTCTCCCATCCGGCTCTAGGCTGCTAGCCTGGGGCCCAGCGGCCGTGGAGCATCAGAAGACGTGCCAGAGCCTGGGCAAGTCACTGTGGCAGCAGCCGAGCGTCGGGGACATCCTCCGCCTGCTGGATCCAGACCGCATGATGAAGACTGTCCTCCACTTCCCCCAGAACCGGAGACTGCTGCCCCCCGAGGTGCGGGGGGCCCAGGGGGGAGCTGTCAGGTTTTAGCTGCTGTAAAATACAAGCACTGCTTTTCTTGTGATTTGTTAACTTTTTATAAGTAAAATTCCAACCATATGCAAAGGTACAGAGACAGGACCCATATACCCACCACCCAGCTTCAAAACTTATCAGCACTGACCATACTTGTTTCTCTTACAACTTCTTTCCACAAAAGCAAATATCAAAGGTATAATTTCATGTACAAGCACTGTTGTTGTTGTTTTTTAATAGAACCGTTTTTTAATGGGCTTGGATATTCATAATAATTTGAACTCTAGGTAATAGTGGGTAAACATTCACATGGTGTTACGCTTACGCAGTTGAACCACACGTTTCTGTTTGTCTCGGGCTATTTCAGGACACACAGGAACCGATATTTAAAGACAGGGGCACGATGGATCTCAGTGACCTTTATGACCCCTGTTTCCTCCTTCATCTCTTCAGTGAATTGACCAGGCCAGGTAATTGCAGCCTTCCGGGTGGGTTGAGGGGGCATGATTATTACCGTAATTACCAAATTAGGACCTTAATCTTGAAAATAATTCTTGAAGGATCTGCAGCTGCCTTCTCACCTTTCCATTCCAGTGATTTTCAGCAAAGTAACAGTTAATGTTTTGAATACACAGTGATTTTTTTTTTTAATTATAATTTTAAAATCTGGGAGTGTCCCTTTGTCTTTGATGTTTTCCTAATTTTAATGACAAGAGCATTTTCTGAATTTTCACTGAATAGTGGTCACATACCAGCAGAAATGAGAGACTTTGTCTTTGACAATGAGTGAGAGCCTGCTAAGGTTGGCTTTTTCTTGGTTTAAGTATATTTTTGAAATTGTATTTTGTGTCTACTACCCTGAGGGTGGGAATCTTTGTGGGTGAATGCTTCGGAGAGATAGAAAGAACAGAAACGTGTATCAGTACACGCTGGTAAAGGCCAGCGTCTGATTCCCAGGCTGGTCAGGTCTGTTGGTTTGGGGCATTTTGTCGGTGATTGGTGTGTATTTTTTTTGTGGTACGCGGGCCTCTCACTGCTGTGGCCTCTCCCGTTGCGGAGCACAGGCTTCGGACGCACAGGCTCAGCGGCCATGGCTCACGGGCCCAGCCGCTTCGCGGCATGCGGGATCTTCCCGGACCGGGGCACGAACCCGTGTCCCCCGCACCGGCAGGCGGACTCTCAACCACTGCGCCACCGGGGAAGCCCTGAATTTGCGTTTTCTTAATGGCTAATGATGATGAACATCTTGTGGCTTATGTACCATCTGTAATCCTCTTTGGTAAAGCATCAGTTCATGTCTTTTGCCCTTTTATTCTAATGGGTTTTGTTTGTTTGTTTGTTTGTTTTTACTGTTGAGCTTTGAGGGTTATTTATATATTGTACCTATTAGTCCTTTGTTTGATATGTGATTTGCAAATATTTTCTCCCACTGTGTAGCTTATCTTTTCACCTTCTTAACAGAGTTTTTCAAAGAGCAGCAGTTTTCAATTTTGATGAAGTCCAGTTTATCAGTTCTTCCTTTTATGGGTCATGCTTTGGTGTCAAGTCTTAAGAACTCTTTGCCCATCGCTCCATCCTAAAGAATTTCTCCCATGTTTATTTCTGAAAGTTTTATAGTTGTAGGTTTTACATTTAAGTCTGTAGCCTATTTTGAGTTAATTTTTGTATAAGGTGTGAAGTTTAGGTCCAGCTTCATTTTTTCGCCTGTGGGTGTTCCGATCCCGTCCCCACTTGTCGGTCCTCCATCTGTCCTCCTCGCCCTTCCTCCTGGTTACTGCCAGGCTGGGGAGTCCCGGCGCCCCTGCACTGACACTTCCTGGCTGGGAGGGCAGGAGTGGCCATTACTGCTCCTCACGTGGCCTCCACTGGCACCAAGCGGGAGCCTCGTCCTTCCTCTGTATTAGGGTCCCTCCAATGCCCAGTGGGGACCAGCCAGCGTGAAGCCTGAGGGGCTCCCTCACTTCTCCCTCCTGGTTGTAATGGCCGTGTAGATTAGGTGCACCAGGAAACCATGCCTCACTGATTGCCCTGTTTTCTCCCCTTTTAAACTTGATGGTCTTTTTATACTCAAATGCTCTTCCTTATGGATTTGCTGATCCTCTACCACTGCCCTTAGTTCCTAACAGAAAGATGAGAGGGCTGTGTTCTCAGAGACTAGCCTCTCCATGAACACTGGGTTCTGTGGCTGAGCTAGAGTTTCTTTGCAAGAGAGCAGGGGCATTTCATTGCATGCACATGTCAGATGGTGATGATGGCCAGCAGATATCTTAACTGCCCTGGTGGCTATTAGCAGCAGCCAAGTAAGGCACATCTACTACGCTCTTTGATTCCCCCCAGGTCTTGGCAGTGCTGGCTAAGTCTGTTTCTCATCAAACATGAAAACAGATTTTCCACAGTCTAAAAATATGATGCAACTTGAGTGAATTATAACAAATCATTTAGTCTGTTGCTCTTTCAGGAGAGCTTTTAGGAGACAGAAGGCAAAGGCTTGGAAAACAGTAGAGAAATAGTAAAAATCAGGACTGTGTTTTTCCCAGAATCTTGGATAGTGGGGGTAAGGGGGAAGGACAGGATCTGGAAGGCCTTTTGTGAAGAGAGGTAACTAGTAAATGCTCTTTCAAGTTAGGGAAATCTCCAAATACAGCCGCTTTTACATTTTATTGGTATAATATAGGTAGAAAAATTTGCAGAGCATGTCTACCCAGAAAGGACTTGCAGTAGCTTAAAATACTGCTTATACCAAAATCATTCATGTTGACGTAGAAAATTTTAAAAAGCATATAAGTGGATAGGGAAATAGTTATGCAACACAAATAAGCAAACCAAGAAAAACTAGGTTCATTAAATTTTGCTCTGGGCTACTTATAATCCAGAACAACAAAAAAATGGAAGCATAATATTTTTAAACAAATTTCATCATCTGATAAAAGGAAGTAATACCAGTTCAACAGGAGAGGAAAATTCCTAGCAGTAAAATGATAAGTTGAACAGAACAGAAATCTGTGAACAGTATAATGGCCAAAGGTTTACTATGGTTGAATTGTCAGTGAATCTGTTTTTCATTTTACTATTTTTTAAAAAGTTACTATTCCATTTACTGTTGCCCTGGTGGATAACTAAACATGAACAATGTTTTAAGTAAACTTTTATTGAAGTGTGATATATAGACACCAGTGCAAATCATATATGTGCGGCTCAAGTTTTGGTGAAACCACTGGCCAGATAGGAACAGAACATAATCGGCAGCTCCTCCTCGGGCCCCTTCCTGGCCAGGGCCCCTTCCTCCCCAGTAGGGACCAGTGTCCTGTATTTGAACTTTATGTAAATGGCATTAAACACTTTCTATTCTTTTGTATGAGCTTCATTTATCTACATTATATTTGTGAGATTCATCCATGCTGTGTGTAGCACAAGTTCTCCACAGCATGTTTTTACTTCCTGCAGTGGCACCTGGGTCCAAGTGTTGCTAAACATTCTACAGTCCTAAACTGGGTCACCTCCTCCTACCTCCTGCCTCTGGTGACCACAAATCTGATTAGTTTGTATGCGTGGTGGCCAGCCTTCAGAGAAACTCGTCTCACTGCCTTTGCTGAAAATGGAACCTGTTTTCTTAACCTTACTGCTTCTTTTCTTTGAGTCCTTGGCTGAAAAGCAGGGCCAGCCAAGGCTGTTAGCAATGGCAGTGACAAATGCTTTTTCCACAGCAAATTCTTGTCCTCAAGAGAACCGGGCTGAACTCTTTGGCTCCTAATTCACAGAACAGGGAGGCCCACGTGCGGTTCTCACCAGACTACTGGACACAGGCTCCATGGACCGCTCCCTGTGACGAGCCTTCCTGGCCAGGCCGCCTCTAGGAGATGGTGTGGGAGGAGGCGTGATGAACAGCTCTTTATGCTCCGACAGCACAGCTGCACTGCCACCAAAGCCCATAAAACGTGGGGTGCTTTTTCTTTTAATCCTTGATAATTGTCCTGGTTAAGCCATTTTGGTTTGAAAATCTGCTATCACAAGGCCGAATCTCTATTTATGAAGTTCTTAAAACAAAGAGAATGGTATTTATAACAGCTTTTTGATAGCCTATTATGTTTTCAACACTCAAGGGAAGCTCTTTTCCATACATGTTACAAAGCCAAGACTTCCGGAGAATAACAGAGATGACCACAGAACATGAAGTTGACTTTTCCTCATGGACACGTGAAAAATCCTTTTGTCTTAGAGAGTGTCAGTGATTACTAAAAATATCCCTGCTGAGTACTAGCTATTTTTGGTAAGTGTAATATTAAATGTTTAGAGTGTTCTCTTTTCCAGATTTATTCCACTTATGTCTGTTTGTTATGTAGGTATGGAGGTATCTTAAACATATCTCATCTTTTCCAAAACAATATAATTTTATCCCTCAGTTTGATGCTTTGTAAAGCATTTGGCATTTTTCCCCCCCCATCAAAAGTAGTCACTTGTTAGAAATGAGAAAATTTAGTCCATAAGCTGTTAGAGCCCAAGAGTCTTCTAATTATTCTTTTTCCATCCTTTTACTTTTTCTTTCCTTCCAGTTTTATTGAGATATAATTGGCATACAGCACTGTATAAGTTTAAGATGTACAACATAGTGACTTTACTTAACATACATCATGCAGCGATTACGACAGTAAGTTTAGTGAACATCCGTCATCTCATATACATATAAAATTAAAGAAATATAAAAAATTTTTTTCCTTGTGATGAGAACTCAGCATTTCCTCTCTTAACAACTTTCATATATAACATACGGCAGTGTTAATTATATTTACCATGTTGTACATTGCATCCCTCGTACTTATTTATCTTATAACTGGAAGTTTGTGCCTTTTGACTGCCTTCATCCATTTTCCCTCCTCCTACCTCCTGCCTCTGGTGACCACAAATCTGATCTCTTTTCCTGTGGGTTGGTTTGTTTGTTGTTTTCAAGTATAGTTGACCTACAGCACTGTTAGTTCCTGGTGCGTAACATAGTGATTACCTATTTCTCTACATTTCAAAATAATCACCACTCTATCCTTTTACTTAAAATCTGCATCTTGAGGTTAAAAGTGGTTTCTTGTAGACAGCGTATACTTGGGTTTTGTTTTTATATCCAGTCTGACCGTCTCTGCCTTTTAATTGGAATGTATACACCATTTACATTTAATGTGATTATCAATCTGATTCCACTTTATCTTCTTTTTTGGCTTTTAGCTATAATTTGTGTGTGTGCTTGTCAGCATATGTACGTGTGTGTGTGTGTGTATATGTGTTTTTGTGTGCATGTTGGTTGCTTTAGGGTTTATGGTATACATCTTCAATTTATTGTGGTTTACTTTCAAGTGAGATTATACCACTTCATGGATAGTAGAAGCACCTTACAATAATATATATCTCTCCCCTCCTGGCTTTGCGCTATAATTATCATACATTTTCCATCTGTTGATAAATGTTAAAAAGCCTACAATACGTGGTTGTTTTTGCTTCAGACTGTCATTTACCTTTTCAAGGGATTTAAATATTTTGTTTACCCCGTAGTTATCATCCCTTGTTCTCTTCATTCCTTTGTGTAGATTCAGATTTCCATCTTCTATCATTTTCCTTCTCATCAAAATACTTTTAAGAATTCTTATAGTTCAAGGCTGTTGGTGATCAATTCTTTCAGCTTTTAGTCTTAACTTTTGAAAGATTTTCATGGGGTAGGAAATTCTCGGTTGACAGGTTTTTTTCTCATTGTACTTTAAAGATGTTGTCACCTTGATTCTGGATTGCATTGTTTCTAACAAGAAACAGTGTTCTTATCTTTGTTCCGCTCTATGTTTTGTGACCACTTTTAAGATTTTTTTAATCACCAGTTTCAAGCAATTCGATTATGATAAGGCTGGGTGTAGTTTTCTTTATGTTTTCTGTGTTTGGGGTGTTCATTGAGCTTCTTGGGCCTGTAGGTCTGTGGTTTTGTCAAATTTGGAAAAGTTTTGGCCATTATTTCTTCATTTTTAGGGACTCCAGTTATACATGCATTAGCCTGCTTGAAATTGCCCCACAGCTCAGTGATGCTCATGCTTTTAAAATTCTTCTTTCTCTCTGTGTTTCAGTTTGGTTAGATTCTGTTGCTGTCTTCAGGTTCACTGTTCTTTTTTTCTTCGATGTCTAATCTGATCAGCCCATCTAGTGCATTTTTCTTTTTTGTTTGTTTGGTCTTTTGTTTGTTTTATTGAAGTATAGTTGATTTACAGTGTACTTATGTCAAACCTAATCTCCCAATTCATCTCACCCTCCCCAGGTGACCTATCCCTGTTCTGAGGTTTTTCTTGACAATGTTTATATTGTAAAAAGGCCTGGGTTTTTGTTAAAGAGGATTTGAAGTGTCCTGAATTGCAGGTGTGATCAAGTGGGTCCCCTCATGTATCCGACCTTCTCTCCCATCACATCCTCTCCTGGAGTAACGTGAGTTTTTCAGGGCCTCACAGGTGATGAGAGAATATCAGCCAGCCAGCTCTGGGCTGTAGCTTTTGTTCAGGCTTGGTGAGCCGCTCTTCTGTGAGATTTCTGTCACATGTTTGAAGAAAGAACTAGGGTTGCAGAGTGGATATAAGTTAATCCTTCGTAAAATCGATAGTCCAGCTCAGACCAGTTCACCTTGGCTGTATCTCCCAGCATCGCCGCCTTACGTATTTTCCTTGGCCGTGTTTGTAGGTGGGAACTCAGAGGCCGAGGGCTGAACACGGTAGACCCGAGAGCCGGCTTTCTCTGCTGACCCTCCGGTTGTGTCCCCCAGGCCTCCGCATGCTGGGATCTCAGTGGTGGGTCCGAATGTCACCTCTGATCTCTGGTTCACTGGGTATCTGTGAGAAGTAAGGAAAGATTCCTGGGATTCTTGGGATTTACAAGCATCTTAGAAACTGAAGGCATGTGGTTATTGCCACGGAAGGGGAGAGAGTCTTTTACCCGGCTTCAGCAGAAGTTAAGGAGTGCAGGAGGAAGACTTGCATTTCTTGTACCTAGCGTGCACACGTAGCTGATGGTGGTAAGACGCGAGAGCAAATGGAATTCTCTGTGTTGCACGAGCGTCACGGAATCATAGCGTGTGTGTGTGTGTGTGTGTGTGTGTGTGTGTAGTTAATGCTGTATTTTATTTCCCTCAGAATTTGTGGTGGATTGTCGGAAATTTGTGGATTCAAATGCTCTGGGCCTAACTGTCACAGCCCTCAGCAGCTACGACCCCCTGATGCGAGCTGCGGCCTACTCCGTGCTGGCAGCCTACTACTCACAGCTGGAGGGGGCACGCTTCCGGGAGCAGCCCCAGGTGAGCGGGGCTGCGGGGATGGCTCTCCGCCCGGCCTGGTGGAAGGATTTCCTAAGGAGATCAGAGGTGTTGCCTGGAGACTGATACAGGACAAAGTCTGTCCCCTGCTGGGGGAGGACGGGTGATGCCTGAGGCTGTCTCGGGTCCTCAGCCCCGGGAGATGGAGACAGGTCTCCCCTTACAAGTGGTCTTCTTGTGTTGTGGTGGGCAGAGCAGTTCTAATTTCTGTTGAACTCAGGGGTGATGGCAGCTGTCACCCAGGACACACAGAGCCTCAGAAGCTGCGCCCTGAGGTGGTGGGGACAGGCGTCACCTTGGGTGGTCCCTGGGGTGCGAGGAGCAGGCCACTCTGCAAAGCCGTGGTTTAGGCTGTACAAGATAAGGCTGATCACAGACGTTCTGCAAATTCTCTTTTTTTTCCGCCCCTTTTTCCTGGTTTGAAGGTACTGTACCTGTTGGACGTAGTCCGGAACGGGATCCGAACTAAGAACATGAGACTCACCTTCACCTTGACTCTCTTCATCGCCAAAGCAGCCTTGCAAATTTTGAAACCAGGTACCACTGACAGGATCAGGTTGGGGTGAGGTGGAAAGTTTGAGGCTGAGCAAGGCCACTTGGAGGCGTTCATCCCGCAGGCGTAACCAGTCCACCACACGTGTGAGGGAGACGGATCAGGGTCACACGTGCACAGCACAGAAGAGTGTGTGTGATGGGGGAGATTACGTGTTCCTGTTTGCCTGTAGGGGTATAAAGCTGTGGTAAAGCAAATCACAGCTCCCACCAAAGGGGCTGCTCGGGGGCGTCACGGATCCATACGCGAGCGCTTAGAGGGACCTGACACGGAGGCCCGTCCGTGGTGGCAGCTGCCGCTCTGAGCTCGGGGGTCAGCGTCAGTGTAGCTCACCAGCTAGAGGACAAGCGGCCTGTGGGTCCCGTGCAGGTGTCACCCAGGGCATGGAACACGAAACACTCCACTTTGTTCCTCACAGCAGGGCAGCGCCGAGGCAGTGTGAGCACAAGTCAGTCTATCATAGGACCTTTTTTTTTTTTGGTAATTAGTGAAAAGTCGTAGAATGTTGATAACGTTAGGGACCACAGGGTTCTTTGGAGGTAGCATGGTTGTTTTTAGATGAGGAGATAGCCTCCCAGCTGGGGCCCCCAAGGTTAAATAGCTTGTTCAAGGCCCCACAATCAACCTGTAGTCAAGTTGCTGTTAGAATTCAGATTTGATTTTCATGTCCTCCGTATCTTTATTTTTGGCTGCGTTGGGTCTTTGTTGCTGCGCACGGGCTTTCTCTAGTTGTGGCGAGCGGGGGCTGCTCTTCGTTGCGGTGCGTGGGCTTCTCATTGCGGTGGCTTCTCCTGTTTCAGAGCACGGGCTCTAGGCACTCGGGCTTCAGTAGTTGTGGCTCACGGGCTCCAGAGCGCAGGCTCAGTAGTTGTGGCGCACGGGCTTAGTTGCTCTGCGGCATGTGGGATCTTCCCGGACCAGGGCTTGAGCCTGTGTCCCCTGTGTTGGCAGGCGGATTCTTAACCACTGTGCCACCAGGGAAGTTTCCCCGTATCATTTTTATTACATGTTTTTTTCTTTACCTTAGAAATTACGGGAGGAAAGAAGGTAATTAGCCATTTAGACTCCAAAGGAACAAACTCTTCTGTGAAAATACCCCAGCAGAGGTCACGGTGGATGGTCTTGGCCTCCCATCCAGCCTGTGCCCCCCAGGCAAGCTGTCCCACATCAGACCTGCTGTCGGTGTTGGAGCACAGGGCAGCATCAGTGGTCCAGGGTTGGGACCGGGGGAGGAGGTGTCGGCCCCGCTGCATTCAAGGGCCAAGTGACCCAGGGCGCGTGTGAGCCCCCTTTGCTGTGGCAGCTTCCTCAGTGGGAGGCCGGTGGGCTGGGTGTTAGCCCTGTGCTGTCTGAGGTGTGGCCAGGCCCCACTCTCCCCACCAGCTGATTAGAGTTTAGGCAGTGGGCTCATGCCTGGGGAGAGGTGACGTCTCCGAAGGACTGGACATCCTCACGTGGTTCCTGGGCCACAAGAGAAGCCCGTGTGCTGTGTAGAGCTAAGGTGTCTTAACTGCGTTTTAATTCTTGAGAACTAATAACCTGGATAAGGATTGGAAAGCCCCGAGGGGGCAGGGATTTATGTCTGACCGCCCCCCAGGGCCCTGCTCCCCTACTCCAGCCGGCCACGGGGTGTCCTGTTGGCACTATGGTGAGTGACTGTCTGCTTGTGTTCACAGAGGAGCACATGTATTTGAAGGTCAACAAGTTCCTGCTGTCCCATGAGTACCTGAACATGAACAAAGTTCCAGGCTTCTACCAGTTCTTCTACAGCTCGGACTTCGAGGTAATGCTCTGAGGTCTCGGGGTCCTGGAAAGACTCCTAAATGGGATGCTCAGCCACTGCGCTGACGTTTCCCCGAGGAGACTGTCAGCTACAGAGCACAGGCTGGGGTGGAGCTCGGGGCCAGGTGGGCCTATGTGTGGAAACGCTTCCCATTCCACACCTTGATTCTTGGGTGGCTTCTCAGACCTCGCAGACTACTCCAGAGGCCTCGAGTCGTGGCCTCCTCGCTCTGTTTTCTTGGTGAAGCCCTGGCTTGAATACTAGTGTGCTTTTACAGAACACCCCTCTGAGTAAGCACAGTCTACTGTGTAAACTTGACCCGGTCCCTCATTCCTGACCTGGAGAAATGGAAGCAGAGAGGAGATGGAGGGTTCTTAATAACATACCCAGAAACGGAGGGCGGGGGCGGCTGTGCTGCAGCCTTTGCCCCCAGTTGAAAGTACTGGCGTTTGAAGAGTTTTCAGGGGAAAAGGCCTTCACTTATTTAACGATAGTTTCTTGGTTGCTTGGGTTACAGCAGAAGACGGAGCGGGAGTGGATGTTTGGGCTTCTGCGCCAGGGGATGCGGGACAAGTACTGCTACGAGCTCTGCGCCAGGCGGGGCGTCCTCCACGTCATCCTGTCCTTCTTCAGCAGCCCGCTCTGCGACGACGTGGCCCAGGTAGGCGGCCAGCGCTCCTGGGGGGCTGAGGCCTGGGCCCTTGCACGGGGTTCCATCTGCCAGCCAAGTCCCCGTGGAGTCCCACCCAGCCTGGCCTCCCGATTCTACATTAGCTTCCGGTGCCCTGGCCTGGGGGCAGGGCCTGTGGAGAGGGAGGGAGGTAATGAGTACCCAGGTGGCTCTGGAACGGCTGAAAGCTCTAGAAACTCGTCACCCCATAAATGACTGAGGTGCTTGGAGACACGCCCGAGCCACCAGGATGTCTCACGATGCACAGAAGCTGCAGGTTATCAAAACTCGGCTGGGAAAATGAGTCGGGAGTCGAACCTGCCTGCCTCACAGCTGACGAGGGAGTCTGCCCATTAGCTCTGCCCCTGGAGCCAGAGCTCATGTCGCACGAGATGTAACTGGGAGAATTCATCAGTATTTTGATTAATTTCTAGCCCGGTCAGCTTCTGCTTGTGGTATCATGTAAAATGTGGGTAAATAGGAGTGAGTTTGAATAAACGGAATTCGAGTACGGTAGATTTCTATTTTTTACAGCATGTGAGAACTCTAAAGCACCCAGTTAACAGTTCCAGCAGGAGTCCCATCTTTCTGTCCCCTCCAGGTGGTAAAATCAAGGCAATGAATGAGCCGCCCGCAGTTCATGGCTGGGCTAGAAATGGGTCCGCCCTTCTCCCCACTCAGGCTGCCCCAGATGTGGGCCGTGTGGCTTCCGTGCTGTGTCTCTGCTTGTGGTGGATTAGCGGGTGGGCGTCCCCGGGCCCGAGCTCGCTGTGGCCGTCTGTGTGCTCTGGCTGTCACTGTGGGGAAGGGTGGTCTCACACGGCCACCACCTTTGCGGACTTAGCAGATGGCACGCGCAGCCCCCGCCTGTAACTGGAACATAGCATTCGATTTTTTAAAGTGTTCCCTGGATCAAGTAAGTCAGGTTTTCCCACTGAAGAGTAACTTTCTGTTCTGGGTTTGCAGAATTGGGTTTTGGAAATTCTGCAGAATGCTGCTCGGGATGCCAAATCTGCCTATGAGATCCTGCGGGATTACAGCCTCTTAACGTGGATCCTCCACATCCTGGAGAGCAAGTAAGCACCGTGTGTGTCTGTGTCTGTGTCTGTGTATCTGTGTATGTGTGTCTGTGTGTGTGTGTGACTGTGTCTGTGTGTGTGTCTGTGTCTCTGTGTGTGTGTGAGAGCGAGAGAGTGTGTGTGCTGTGCGTCAAGCAGAAGGAGGTGACACGGAGACCGTGGCACCTCCTGCCATCTCTCGTGTCCGCTGGAAGTGTCCCGGAGAATCTGTGTTCCCGAAACAGCATCCTCTACAACACCTTTCTGTCTCTTGTGCCAGGTCCAGGCTCCTCCCCTGGAGTGGGGCCCCCCATCTGAGGTTTCAAGGTCTCTGCCCTTCCTGAGGCAGAAACAGGGAGCTCCTGTTTCAGAAACGCTCATGCGGTGATGTGGGCTCGCACTCCACTCCCGCCCAGGGTCAAGGTGCTCGGCGAAGAGCCGGTGCCGGAGCAGCGTCGAGGGCTGGAGTGGGTGTTTGTCTTGTTACTGGGGCTGCTGTCACCGGGTGGCTCAAACGACACAGTTTCATTTTCTCGCCTTCTGGAGGCTGGAAGTCTGAGATCAGGGGGCCAGCATGGTTGGGTTTGGTGGGAGCTCGTTTCCTGGCAAACACACTGCCGACTATGTCCTCACATGACCAGGGAGAGAGAATGAGAGAGCTCTGGTTAATTAATCCCATCATGGGGGCTCCATCCTCATGACTTCTAAACCTAATGGCTTCCCAAAGGCCCCACCTCCAAATATAGTCCCATTGGGGTTAGGGCTTCAGCATCTGAATGGGGCGGGGGACACGGTTCAGTCCATAGTGTGATCTGTTTTGATTCCTAACACTCTCCTAAGTTTGAGGCTGTGTGAAAAGATGAAGACCTTGTCTCAGCAGACAGCTCTTGGTGGCAGGGATCTTTCTTTCAAACAGCTACCTATGATGATAAGCCTGGGGATATCCAGGCTCTTTCATGCATTTTTTTTTCCTTTTGTGCATTTTTTAAAAAGAATTAAAAGATTTTTCTCTGAAAGAAAGTAATGTCTTATATCTAAAGGCAGCACTGGCTGATTATCTGTTCCTGGCTGTTACCTTCATGCTTTAGGGTTGAGTTGTTCTCGTGGGCGGGAAGGCTCTTCTTATGGTGCCGCAGCGGCTCCAGAATGTCCCTTAGTGGGGACTGAGGTGGTTGGCTGTCTAGAAAGGAGGGTTGGGGCCTCGCCCTGGGGTGGAGCTTCATTTCTGTAGCAGACATCCTGTGTTCACTTAGATGCTGTGTCCCCCTCTTTGGGGGCTGCAGCGGGAGGTGCGAGGATAGATGGTTGGGGGAGAGGGGAGGAGTCTGCCACTTGGGATGGTCACCACCGTCGCAGTCTCTTCCATGGTTGCCGCCCACTCCCTCCAGGAGATGTCACTGGGAGGAGAGGATGTGACAGACAGTGGACTTTCCCACATTTGATTTCAGGTTCCTGGAGACTCAGCTGCTCTCCAACCTCATCTCCCTGCTGCACACGCTGTGGGTGACCACCCTGGGGGACAGAGGCGTGGAGGCAGGGGAGCAGCCTCCTTGCAAGCCTGGGTCCCAGGAGCCCCCGAAGCTGCTCGCCCTGCACTTGGTCGACGAGTTCCTCTACGTTCTCCTTGTGCTCACGAAGCACCTGAGGTAAGCCCCTCCCCACTGGCCATGACCCCTTGGAGGTCACGGCTCCACAGGTAGGCTCTGGGCGGGGGCTGCCATCCCTTCGGTGACGTCAGGAAACCTACTTCAGCTGCTCTTCTTTCCACGTCAACTTCAGGAGGTTCCTTTCAAGGCCCTGAGAACTTAGCACACTTGAAAAACCTAAAGCCTGTCATTCCAGATCATTTTTAGCAGCAAACCATCTAGTGGACTTTTGGATCCAAGCACTCAAAATGCTTTATAGAAAGAACATATTTTCCATGATCTAAGCCTAGGAAAGTTAAGCTGTTCCCAAACTCGCCTCCGCTTTCATTAGCCTATGGGCTCCCTTATCCATGAATTCCTTGAAAATTTCAGTATTTTCCCCTTGGAATTACACTCTTGGTTTCCTCAGGAGAGCTCAGTTCTTCTCAGATTCTACTGTGTTAGAGAAAATACACTGTGTGCCCTCAGATTTCTGATTTGGGAACAGGGGTATGCTGATTGAAACCAGAGGATCGATAGCCAATGGATTGTCATCTCAGAATGAAACTTTCTTGATAAAGAACCGGGCATTTGGTTTTCTGTTGTTTGGAATTCAATTGTTGGATTCATACCAGAGCGCCCGTTTCTTATTTTGGGGTTGTCCCAAGACACGTTGGTCTCTGAGAACCGATTGTTATTCAGAATACTGATTGTAAATGTTAAAATTGTGGAAGGCAGATGGTTTTGAATTTTAAATTCCTTAGAACTCGGAGGGATGTGCGTCCCCACAGTGCCCACCGTCAGGTTTGGCCGTGGGTGGTGCCGTCCCCGGGCTTTGCCGAGCCTTTTCCCTCGAGGCTGAGAGTTCCTGAGTCGGAGAGGAACTGGCGGTCCTGGAGCTGTTTAGCGTGGCAGTGGGCACCCTCACCGCAGGCTCTGCCCAGCTCTCCCGGTTTCCAGAGCGCTTTCTGTGCCTCCAGGGTGGAGCTCAGACTCCGGGCCCCAATTCTGCCTCCCCTGGAGGGGCTCCCTGTTTCCTGCGCTGTGCGCTGGGCTCCACGCTCTTGTCTGTTGTGAAGGGTCGCCCGGGCTGTGAGTGGACGGTGTGCTGAGCTGCAGGACGAGGTCCTGGGCTGCCAGACAAGGAGGTGGCCCTGGCTCAGTCCGTGGCGTTGGCTCCCGCAGGCCCGCCTTGGCCTCCACCCAGCTCACCAGCTTCTTCGGGGCACTCGACTCTGTGCTGAGGTACCGGGCCACCGTGCTGCAGGCCTTCAGGGACATGAACCGCTTCACCGTGAACGAGACTGTGCTGTCCACCAGGGATGCCCTCGTCCTCCTGCACCAGTGGAGCCTCGTCGAGAGAGACGTCAGGCTCCAGGAGGACCTGAGAGCAGCCGCGGAGAGATGCCAAGTCAGGGAGCTGCTGAGTGAGTGTCGGACCCGCTCCCCAAGCTGTGCTCGCTGCCCCGCGGAGCAGCCGGAGTCTTACCGTCCCTGAGCGGCATGTCTGCAGCTTAGAGACAGGGCCTGTCCATCTTCATAGCCCGAGAGGGAGCGGGGGGCCGGCTTTGAGTCCCAGCTCTGCCGCTAACCAGCGCTCAGCACGGGTCACAGGGAAGCACTGAGCACTCGCTGTGCTCCAAGTGTGGGGACGCGTCCCGGGAGGGCACAGCCCGTGGGCCGCCCCACCATCTGCATCTGTGTGTGTGTTAGGTGGTGGGCGGAACACCAGTCTCACCGCCTTTTCTCTTTCCTGTGTGTGTGTGTGTGTGCGTGCGCGTATGTGTGTGTGTGTTGTGTGTGTGCGTGTGTGTGTGTGTGAGACAGAAATGCTCAAGGATAAGAACAAGCCAGTTGGGCCAGCCCGAGCCAAAGGCCTCCGGGGCCGGAAGCGGAGGCCTGGGGAGGCCGAGGAGGCGGTGGACCCCGAGCTGCCGGCGTCCACCTTGGAGGCGTGCAGGGGCCTCCTGAGGTCCATCCTGACCCACTGGGGGCCCGCGTTTCCTGACCCCGAACCTGAGAGCGAAGGCCTGGGCCCCGTGGGCGCTGTCACCGTCCTGGTGGCCGGCTGGGTGCTGCGCTCCGCGGCCATGAGCCCGCTCGGCCGGGTGGAGATGGCGGGCCTCCTGGGCTGGCTCAGGAGCTGCATCTTGCCGCGGCCAGCGGTAGTGGCCGACCTCCTTCAGGACAGCGCCGTGGCGAGCGGCATGTTCAGGCTGTACAGCAGGTTCTGCGGCGCCGAGGGGCTGGCGGGGCCCGAGCAGAGCGCGGCCAGCCTCTTCAACGCCGTCATGCTGCAGCTGGGGGCGGCCCGCGGCCCCGCCGGGAGTCCCTACCGGCAGATACTCGAGGCCGTCCACCTCTCTTCTCTGAACGCGGAGGATGCAGCCACGCGAGGTAAGCCTGGTGCTCAGGTCGGAGGCTGAAGAAACGCGGGAGTGGGCCTGTGGTGGGGAGCATCTCCTGTTCCTTAGAGCCTGTCGTAAGCCTTTGGGGGCCCCTCTCCACAGTTCTGAGGATCGCGGAGAGGGCCACGGGGCCCTGAGTGTAGGGGGAGAGGAAATCTCTGCCTTTGCCTTCAGGTGAAAGAAACCTTTAGTGATGGTTTTGCTTACAGTGGAGAAAGATGCTCACGTCACAACCTTGTGTCCCACCGGGACGCTCTACTGCAGAGCAGCGGCTTCCCTAAGTTTCTATCGTTATTACCCACGTGAAGAGTTACGTTTCATGTCATGGCCAGGTGTGTGTGTGTGTGTGTGTGTGTGTACACTCGAGCACACATGTGCACAAGAGCACACACGTGCGCACACAAACACACAAGTCACACAATTTATGTGCTTGGCGCTTAGCAGGTTCTTAATAAAGGTGTGACTGCACAGACGAGGGAACAGCAAAGGCTGTAGGAGGACAGGAGGGAGGCTGTGACCATGTGCAGGTGGCTCCTCCATCCGGGAGGGTGGACCCTTCACTGGGGGATGAGGGACACGAGGGGGAGCAGGGAAGGGGCCGGGCCCACAGCACAGCAGGTGAGCTCACCTGGTAGCCGGGGTGCCCTGCCCTCTCCTGTGGCCGCAGTCGGGGAATTGAATCTGGGCCTGTAAACCTTCTCACCTGTGCCACTGAGGGGATGATGGGAAGTGACTCCGGGCCGCTCCTCCCCAACTTCGGTTGTGGTTCTTGGCCTGGGTGGTCAGCACCAAGGAAGAGACTTGACTTGTAGTAACTTTTTTTTACATTTCACACACATTCATTCATCGCATGAAAAGATAATTTTAAAATGAACAAGAAAGGTTGACTTATAGTCAAGCAGAGGTGGAATTAATTTATGGCAGTGCGTGCTCACTGCCGTCTGGGGCTTCGCACAGCCCCGGGCCCCTGTGCATGTGGGCGGGTGACTTGTTTTCTGACTGACCGGATTGCGTTCTAATGGCCTTGTCCCTTTCCTCAGCCACTGCTGCATTCCTGGTGTCTCTGTACATTAAGGACATCTGGCTGGGGGCCCAGCGGCCAGACACCCTCTTGACCCACGTCCGGATGGTCCTCGACGCCTCGGAGGACGTGGAAGGTGGTGACGAGGAGGCCGTTGTCAGGCTCTGCAAGGACATCGCGGCCGCGATCCCCGACACTTAACCCCGTGCGGCTGGCGCTTCCGGCTCCAGGCTCTAGGAGTCAGGTTGAATCAAGGGTTTCCATGGAAGGCCTGCGAGATGACAAGCTCTGAATGTTGACCAGGTGTCCTGACAGGAAAAGTTGGCTTCATTTAACTGACTGATAAATAATAAGCTCAAGGGACCACGTGTGCGAAGCGGTCAGGGTTACAGTGGGCTTGGGGACCTTCGGGCCGTGAGCCCCAGTCAGCGAAGACCCTTCCTCTTAGGGGCTCATTGTTCCTCAAAGAAATACCACAAATCGAGGTGGCGCTTCTGAGTGCTTAAGGGATTCATGGACTTTAAAGCCGAAGTGTCCAGAGATATGTCAGGCAGAAGAGCAAGAAGAGAGACATGTAAAGTTTGCCTTAAGGCTTTAAAACAAAGCTCTGTGGAACTTCTTGAATAAATAAGCCCTGCCAGTGCTGTGTTATTTTAGTAAATAAGAAGGGCGTCGCCCTAAATCCTTAAAGCGTGAGATTGTTTTGACTTCTGCTTTGGAAAGACAGCCTATATTTTTAAAAATTCTGCTTCAAAGGGGGATTTAGAATTTTATAACTTGTTAATAAATGTCTATTTTTGTTAGGTTTTTGTGTTTTGTTTAATTGATTTAATCACAGGCTCTTTTTATTCTACAGAGACCTGCATTTCAGAGGTCAGGATTTGACTTTTAAGATTTCTACATTAATTGATATTGTAGCTGACGAACGTTGAATATGAAGTTTCATGGGTTTCCCAGATAAAATTTGGTCCTGATCATTTAAAGCTCTGCATGTACCCTCCTGCACACCCAGGTAGGTGCCCAGGGGTCTGCTGGGCCCTCGTGCCATGTCAGCACACGCATTCCCTGTCTGCCACCTGGGAGGTGGCTGTTTATTTGCCCATTGCACTGGCAATGGCTTGGTTTCAGCTTAAACATTTACACTTTTGTCTCCTTCCAGTGTTGTTTAGACTCTTTTCAGGTTTGTTTGTTTCTTTTTGCGGTACGCGGGCCTCTCACTGCTGTGGCCTTTCCCGTTGCAGAGCACGGGCTCCGGACGCGCAGGCTCAGCGGCCATGGCTCACGGGCCCAGCCGCTCCGCAGCATGTGGGATCCTCCTGGACCGGGGCACGAACCCGTGTCCCCTGCATCGGCAGGCAGACTGTCAACCACTGCGCCACCAGGGAAGCCCTTTTCTGGTTTTTTTAATGACTTAAGATTTTTACCAAGTCAAGAGTAACGCTTCTGTGCATTTGTCCCCTTCCCGCAAGTGGGGCTCATCGTCTAGAAGACAAGGAGCATTTACCTCCCCTATTCCCTCGCCTGCAAAACACCCACAACAATATTCTTAGAATGTCGTGAAGCCAGAATCCTACGTTTAGATTCAAGTTGGAAAGCCCATGTGGTCCTTTCTGCCCTCTTTCTGCATCTCTGGAGCCCATCAGTCTCCCTTCCCCCATCTTCCCTTCTAACCCACTGTCCCCCGGGCTGGGGAGGCCAGGCCTGGCCCTCACCTTACAGGATTATTTTTCAGTCACCTGGGATGGAGGGGGGGTGAGGTTTATGGGCTTTGTGGTATGGTGCTGGCACCCTGCCAGGGGCAGGCTGTCAGGCACTAGAGAACTAGGTCCATCGGGGGTCTCAGATCAGACGTCACACGAAATCACACAGCACGGGATCCTCCTGCCACTTGGGCTTAAGCCTTGCCTGCTGCACCCGACTGCCCTGTCCGGGGAGACGCCTCCCTGGGCTCTGTCTGTGAAAGGCCTTGGGGAGGTCAGAGGTGTGGCTCAGGTCCCCTGACCACAGTCAGCGAGTCTGGCTGGGCACACACTGCCCCATCTTAGTGACAGTGGGTGTCAGTGGGGGATGGAGGGGGACCTGGCAGGCACCCCCTGGGCGTCCTAAAGAAGGTGCAGATCAGCCAAGCGAACTCAGAGTTGATAAAAAAAACATTGCAGAAGTAATAGCGGAAACTATGAAGTGACATAGTAGAGATCAGTGAATATTTTTTAATCTTAATTCATACATATTTTACTTTTCTATCCTTCCTAAAGCAGCTTGAGCAGTAAGTAGGCAGGTTAAGTGCACTAAAGGAAATGAGCACTATTTGGGGCCTCCTCCCTCAGCCAGATGGGCTGTTGCCAGCCTTGGGTAAATGCACACATGCGCCCCCTTGTACAGTCATTCCTGACCTAGTTGCACATCGTGCTACCTGTAACCAGGCTTTCAGAGGGCACGTGTGTGTCCAGGTTGGTTTGAGTTCCCCGGCTCACTCAGCAATGGCCCTGGTTTGGGTTGTTGGTTCTACTGTCGAGAGGTTCTGTCTGCAGGGGAGGCTCACTGGGCTTGAAGTTCCTGACGTCGGCTGGTACCGTGCGGGTCCCCATCGAGGGCCAGTTCCCAGAGAGCAGGATGGCTCTGGGGGGTGGAAGGGGGCCGAGGTGGAGGGACTCTCCTGCTGCAGCTGCTGGACGGGGCCCGACGCTCTGCCACCTGGTTCCTCGACCGAGCTCGGTAGAGGCAGCGGGGTCCCCTGGGGGGCCCCGTGGTGCTGGGGTTGCTTCCAGACACAGAAGGGGAGGTTGAGGCCGAGACTCCAGGGGCACGTTGGGTGGTGCTGGGCATTGTTCCTGCGGACAGAGCAGAGGGAAGGAAGCGTCCAAGCTGCCCAGAGAACTGTCCTTCCCCGGGTTGGGGAGGGGACTCCCTGCTGCACCCTCCTGCCTGGCCAAAGCCTGCAGAGGAGAGTCACAGGGCGAGAGCCCCTCTGCCAGGGAAGCAGGCCCAGGGCTGGGGGGCAGGCTCAGCCTGGCTCACCAAGGCTACCACAGTGGAGAAATGGAAGAGAAGAGGAAGTGCTCGATGGTGACCCTGACCTTGGGGCTTTCCCTCTGACCTCATGTCACAGATTCACAGCTGGTGGAGGCAGGGGTGGGGGGATGGGAGGGGGGGAGGTTGACCTTCCGTCCATCCACATGTTTGAGTGTAGCTCATGTCGTGTCCGTACCTCATGCCAACTTGTATCTGAGCCAGAAATCCATCCTCCCTGGATGGACCCTCCTGCACTCGAGGTGCTGGGGGCACAGGACACATCCCGCCTGCCTTTAGTTTCATCAGTGAAGTGGGATGATAACTGCCTTGTGGGTATCAGGATGAGATGAGGCCATGTACCGATAGCTGTCTAAGCTAGAGAACTAGTTCAAATGTGGTTATAATTGGAACGTGAATGAAGAAGGCCAGGAAGGGAGCGCGAGGGAGCTAAGCCCTCCTTCCAGATGACTCAGATGATGCTAGCACAATCTTTTTTTTTTTTTTTTTTTTCCATCATGGAAAGAACGACTCTTTGGGAAGCAGCTCAGCATTCTCTTTCCTAAGTCTAACTAAGGATCTATTTGGCCGCCCTGAGCATTCCTTGTCACAAAGTTCCTGGAGAGCATTTTCTGTAGTAAGCCATGCGGCCAGTCAGGACAAAGAGCGTCATTATTTTGCCCTGTGGTAAAACTGTAGCCCAGAAGATGCGCAAAACCCCTGTGTGCCCACCAGGCTGGGGAACCTTCCGCCGGGAGGTAGCTGAGTATCCTCACAAACTGTCCCTAGCACAGGGCTTGCTCCAAGTCTCCACCGCAGGGGAGTAGAAAAGAAAGTCCATTTCAGTAGTTTGTTCCTCGGGGATCTCTTGGGGGTAAAAATCTGCTTAGCGTCAACGTGAGTTCTGAAAACTGAAAGAATGGATTTCTTCATTGCTCGAAAGCTGGTCCCCGCCTCCCACATGTGACCAAGGGAACCAGAATGACCTGGTGTGTGTAGACCCGGTGCATGAGACACTATGGACAGGGCGGGTGGACGAGGGGGTAGGAGAGACAGAGGCCCCTCCAGGCAGGTCTGTGAATCCGCAGATCCACAGGCCTTCAGGGAACTGGCAGGGGGACCCCCTCAGGCAGGGGGGCTGCCCTCTGGTTCTTTCAGGGACTTGGAGGCTCCTCTTCCCCTCCTCTCAGAACAGCTCTGCCCACCTCTCCCTGCTCCCAGCTGCCTGTGCTGACCCACGGTTCCCACATCCCAGGAGTTCTTGGTCCATAATGGTACCCAGCCACCATCTTCCTCTGGCCCCCTCAGTGCCTCGTGGCCCCAGCTCCCCTGCCAGGCCATATGTTTCTAGGTGCAGTGGCCAGCCCTGGACCAGCCCTCTCCGGGTTGGTTGCCCACCCCTGGTCCCATGAGCTATGGCAGGGAGAGAGGTGGTATAGGGCCCCTTGTAAGCATTGTCCTTAGGACAGCGGTGGCTGTGTTGGGCGGATTCAGCTGGAAGGGAAAGTTGGATGCAGGAGGCCAATTGCGTAGCACAGGAGAATTAACATACAACGAGCTCGGCTCTAGTTACTACTTGGAATGCATGGATTGTACCTCCAATTTAACTTCCGCTTCATGGTCTGCAATAGCTTAACTGAGTTATGGTCTACACACCGCAAAGTTCACCCGTTTAAAGTTTATAATTCAATGGTCTTTAGTACGTTCCCTGAGTTGTGCGACCATCACCCCAATCTATGTTGGAATAGTTACCTCGTGCCCCAAAGAAACCCTGTGCCCCTTAGCAGTCAGCCCCACTTACTCTGCCTTCTCCCAGCCCTGGGCAACCGCTAATCTGCTTCCTGTCTGTGGCTTTGCCTCTTCTAGACATTTCACATCCAGGGAATCACACCGCGTGTGGTCTTTGGTGCCTTACCTCTTTCACGTAGCACAGTGTTTCCAGGGGTCATCCACGTTGTGGCATGAAATCAGGGCTTTATTCCTTTTTATGGCCAAATAATATTCCACCTGGGACATACGGGTACCCCCTATTTAGCCCCTCACGTGGCCACTTACCACATACCTCCGCCTGTCCTTACTTTCCTCGTCTGCGGGGAGGCTGGCCAGGACATGGACAGCAGCAGCAGGAACAGGAAGACCACGAAAGCTGCCAGGCTCACCCAGAAGGCGATGACGATCGAATCTGTGGGAGGCGGACACGCGTCTCCACGTCAGTGTGATGTCACAGGGCCCATGGCTGGGAAGCGAGAGCCCCCATGTGCTGTGGGGATGGGGCTCTGGGGCTAAGTCTTCTCGGCTGTGATGGGGGATGGAGGTACGGGGGCAGATTTTTCCATTAATGATAACCTTGGGAAGGAAACGGGCAGCAGCAGGGACCTGGCGTTTTTCCCAGGGCCACGGGCCTCTGGGTGAGTTTAGGGGGCTTATTGAGGGGAAAAAACAGTAAATGAAGTTGGGTGGCACCACATGGGTTTGCTTTTTCAGCTGCTACTGATGATCAGAGAATGGATTTCCCCTCTTCCCTTCCTCTCGGGAGGGAGAAGAAAGAGCTGTGAGCAACTTCTCGTGGCAAGACGGCCTCCCCTCCCCTGTGAGGGCTGCAGCCCCTACCAGCCTGGTTAGGGACAGCTTCAAAGACCCCAAGATCAGAGACTTAGAAAAAAAGATGTGCGCTAGGCAACTGTGCCAGCCTGCCGCAGGAAGGGCCAGGCCCTTCCCACTGTGGAGTTGTCACCCGAGGCCTGCCACGGCCAGCCTGCTAGAGGTGGAAAGAGCCGGTCCCTTTCTTTCCGAGGGACAGGCCCAGCTGCGGGGCAGTGGCGGGAGGAAAAAGCACTATTGCAGCCACTACTCTGGCTGTATCTGTGGCTGGAGGTGAAAGGACGCAGGGAAAACGGGAAAGATTCTTAGTCTCTTCTGGGTCCTGGGTAGATCCTGGCAGGTCAGGAGGTTCCTTTCTCTGAGACTCCGGGTCTGGAACTTTCGGCAAGTTGCTAGGGAACTGCAGGGGTATAGTTTCCCTTGGGGGTTGTCTTTGGCTCTGGGCACAGAGGACCAGGTTCATAATTAGTGTCTGCAAGTATCTTCTCCCATACACACTCATGCCCCCAGGACAAGATGCCCCAGACCAGGATATGCTAGGCACCTACATGTGTGACCAAAGGAAGCCACTGAAGGATAGTAATCAACAGGCATGTATTAAGCACGTACAGGAGCCAGGCTTTGCTGGGGGCTGTTAAGGATTCAGAGGGGGCCAACCTAGCCCACCAGAAATCGCTGACCCCCTTCAGGATGCTGCATCTCTCCCCCAGCCTCCTCGGCCCTCCTGCTGCACTGCCTGTGCCAGCCGTGCCCTGCCTTCTGTTGGGTTCTGTTCAAACAAAAGATGTTTTTGTGATGGATTCAAATGAAAAGATGTTTATAAATGGGTGAACAAATGAACAAATAACTGAATGGAGGATTAGAGATCTATGAGTCATTTGTGGGGTAAATAATAGTAATTTAGTAAAGATCATTACCACTGCCCTCTATGATCCAAGACAGGTAGAGGGAGAAACTGAGACCTTGGAAGAGTTGATTTTAGGTCCTAAAAGTGTCAAAAACAGGTAATAAGGAACAGATGCAGTATTTGCAAAAGGAATCATGGGCCTCCACCACCTAGTAATACATCAGCAACTTGGCAACCACACTGAAGAGAGGCAAGGACAGCGAAGCCCCACAGGCTGACTCTCACATCCTCTCGGCTTTCTGTCCCTGACCTGAGAAACCGATGGGGGTGCCCTCGAGCAACAAACTGTTGTAGGGGACGTATGGGCTCCCCGGAAATAGGAAATGAGGTTGTTGCCATCTGTCTTAAGCTTAAGGACTTTTAAAAAAAATTTTTATTGGAGTGTAGTTGATTTACAATGTTGTGTTAGTTTCAGGTATACAACAAAGCGGATCAGTTATACGTATACATATATCCACTCTTTTTTTTAGATTCTTTTCCCATATAGGCCGTTACAGAGTACTGAGCAGAGTTTCCTGTGCTGTACGGTAGGTTCCTATTAGTTATCTATTTCATATACAGTAGTGTGTATACGTCAATCAAAAGAAGCCTCTGACTTTCTTAGTGTTCCTTGCCTGCTCACTGTATTATTCCACAATACCTGCTTCGGTTCAGCTCTGTCCCAAAGAGTCCCAATTTATTGTATAACCCTCAAAGTATAAGAGTATGTATGTTTTCAGAAAATATGGTTTGGGATTTTTATTGTATAAGGAAGTTTCAGATTTCTGCAGACACTAACGCTCTTTTACTTTCATAAAAATAATGCAGGATTTGAGGTCTTTGGCACCTATGTAAGTTCCGTCAGAGCCTCTAAGAAAACAGCCCCCAAAGCTGAGCAGTTGAGACGCCCCCTCCCCTCCCCCAGGCTCCCCTCCCCCAGGCTCACGCTGTCTGTCCCAGCCCTTGGTCATTATCTCCAGATGCTGAGCAGGAAATGAGATGTTACCGCTCCCAGAACACAGCGTCTTCAGAGAAGTGAAATTTTCATTTCGCCAGACCAAAAAGGCGAACAGTAGCCACTAGCTGTTTCCTGTACTATATTCTATTTCATCGTGTTCTTTTGAAAAAGGCAACCAAGAAAATAGGGTTTTTTCCTCTTCTTCCTGAAGGTTCAGCCTAAGTGCTTGAGAGGACGTTTTGTACCAAGGGTGAGAGCTGTCATTCCCCAGTGTTGGAAATGTTTAAACATCCGTGGGCTTGTCTTTACAACAAGGAGCACCAGGCTGGCTTGACAATGAAACTGGTCCAGCCACGGAAAACCCCCCTTCCCTTCCCTCTTCTCCAAGGCCCTAGAATAAAATTAACCCCAAGGTTTTTCCCTTCTTGGGGAATAATAACGGGGTTAAGGGCCTAGGCTCTGGAGGCTAACAAATTCTGACTTGGTCATTTCCTAGCTGTTTGATCTCAGGCAATCTTTTACATCTCTAAATTTATTAACAGATAAACTCCTTATCTGTTAAATGGGGATAATAGTATGTGTTTTTTGGCTGTTAGGTAAATTAAATAAAATAATATGTATATGCAATGTACATGGCACAATTCCTTGTTTAATGGTCGTGAACCAATGTATAAATAGAACTAATATTATTTCAGCTACGAGGGCTTTGTGGCAAGTAATATCACGGTATCCTTCAAGCTCTCACTAAAATGTAAGCTATGAGTGAAGGTAATTGTAGCATAGACTGCTGGCTGTCAATCCTAATGTTTGCTTTCACATGCTTCCATAGTAATAGAACCCCTCCTTTAGCAGGTCACATGGCTTCCTGGCATGAAGACTACATTTCCCAGCCTCCCTTTCAGTTAGTAGGGTCATGAGACAAGGTTCTGGCTAATGAGATGTGAGTGGAGCAGTTACAGGACAGCTTCTAGGAGTCCTTCTGCAGAGATGGCTGGATTTCTAAAACCCATGTCCCTTCTTATGCCCTTACTCCATTTTGTTGCCCAGAACATGGATGTGATGGCTAGAGCCAGGCTTGGATGGCAGGGATGGCAGAGATATGAGCTAGAACAAAGCCACTTCTTGAAGATTTCATGGAGCTGACCTACCATCCCATCCTTCAAACTTGTACATGAAAGAGAAATCAACATCTGTTTTATCTGGAACTCTGTTAATTTAACCAATTTTTTCTATTGAATCTGTAAAAAAATTGACTTTTTAAATGAACATATCAAAACTGACAAATCCAAATGAATGCGGACCTTCAAAATAATCGTCTGCTCTCTTCCACAGTCATCTAAATTTTCCTAAAATACATGCGATGATCAAACATTTATAAACTCTTCTTTTGCAGTTACCTTGAAGGACACACACACACACACACACACACACACACACACACACACACCCCAATTTTGCTACTTTATGAGATATTTTATTTTTGACACCCAGCTGGTATCAATCAGCTTAAGTCCATCCACCTGATTGGTTTCTGGGTGATTCTTAACTATTTCCCAGAAGCAAATCCACTCTCCAAAGCAATACATAATTTATCTCTGTGGACATTTCATAGAATGTGTCATGGCCACCAAAGTCATTTCCAAAGTAAGAGTTCCAAGCAGTTTTTGTGCAATGACAGACTCATTCGAGTTTGGCAGCTCCACATGGGGCTAGCTAGATGGGAAATTTGTTCCAAGGTAAACATATTCGTATCTTTGTTTAAAAATCACTTTCACTGCTTACGTCATGTCCATGGGACTGACCATTTGCTGAAGACTTAAACATCCTAATTAAAGTGGTAACCTGAACTTGATCCCTCTGACCAAAAGAGAAGAGTTATATAGAGGTCCTTTGTATTATTATTTATTTTTTAACCTCTTTATTGGAGTAGAATTGCTTTACAATGGTGTGTTAGTTTCTTCTGTATAACAAAGTGAATCAGCTATACATATACATATATCCCCATATGTCCTCCCTCTTGCGTCTCTCTCCCACCCTCCCTATCCCACCCCTCTAGGTGGTCACAAAGCACCGAGCTGATCTCCCTCTGCTGTGAGGCTGCTTCCCGCTAGCTACCTGTTTTACATTTGGTGATGTCTATATGTCCATGCCACTCTCTCACTTCATCCCAGCTTACCAGACTGCCTTATTATTGAAGCCGCCAGAAGCAGTGCATCAGCAGAAGTCAATACGGGCCATGACGAATTCTTCCTAACCTCTAATTAAAGGAAGAAGACATATTGACCTGAGAGGTAAATAATACAGCCGTAAAGCCAGACACTACCCAAGGAAAATCAACGCATCTCACTACTCCCTTCAAGGCAGTACTTGAGTAGCATCTGGAGACTCATGGTATTAAAATAATCTGTATGCTTGCTATAAGACTGGAATACGGGACTGTTTTTTTCTCCTAAGCTTAGCCGCTGAAAAGGGAACAAATAGAAGATCAAACATGTAATCAGTCTGTTCAGGAAGGGTCTCAGGAAACAGATTTGTATTTTCCACCTTTCTGACCGTGCTGGGAAGATTCTTAAACTTTCCGTGAAACAGAAGCCACGTCTGAAAAATCACAAGGGTAACAATCCTTGTGACGTCCCTGTAACAGAATCACACCAGATTTTAAGCCATCCTGGGAAAGGGCAACCCACAGCCTTCAAGTCAACACTGAATGCTCATAAAAATATATCTAAATCCCTAG